CATCTACGAGAAAGTGTAAGAATAGAGTTGATCACATACATGAAAATAAAGGTTAAAATGTGTAAATTCGTAAGGATTGGGTTTAACTACAAAGAACAAAAAGTGGCTGACACAGGGAGAGGTTCACCTGGGTCTCCCAGAGAAGTCCAGAGGCAGACTCTCCGGCTTGGTACGATGGCTCCTTGGTTGTTGGAGATCCCAGCTCCATCCATGCCTTCCTTCCTGGAGATCATCTCAGGGTCCAAGGTGGCTACTGGAGATCCAATCATCGTGTCCACATTTCAGACAAAAGCCAGATAAGGGTCTGGAGAAGCAAAAAGCATGAGCCTCCTGACAGTTAGCTCATTTAAGGAACTTCCTTAAAAGCTTCACCAAATGACTTCTGCTTGTACCCCCTTAGCAACCCTTAACTACAAAGGAGAGCAACACTTGTTTTACTGAGCACAGTGTTTTAGCTGTGCACAGTCACCCCCAATAACGTTCAGACTCTGTAAGTGCAGAAGGGTTCATGGATACCGGGTAGTGTATGAATCATGTTTTCTGTATCATGATGCACTGACATCTCAGGACCTCGTAGACTGTGGGAGAAACTGTCCCCCTCCCAAGTTTAGCTAATTCCTAGAAACAGGAAATGACTTGCCCATGAACATGCCTTTGCCACACAAACCAACCGATCTGAGTCCACACTCCCATTAGCCTCCTTAAATCAGGCTTCTATAGGACAGGACACTGCTCCTCGGTACCAAATCACCCCAGGGCCTGGCACCTAACAGCTAGGGACCCCCTGCACAGCCCAGAGTCTGCTGAAAATTATGCAAACTGTCCAGTCCTATACTTGCTCAGCTTGCCTATCCTGTCTCATACATTTCTACCCTGTGAAAATTCATAATAAAAGCTCTCACCCATACTTCCCCCTCTCTCCTGCCTCCTGACCTACCCATGTGGTCCTACAAGGGGTGGCGTGGTCCCTCCTCTCGGGAACAGTAAGAAACTTGTCTCTCCAAGGCAGCGGTCTCCATGAGTGTCACCTCACCATACCCGATTCAAACAAATCCCAGGTAGGTGCAAAACAAGCTGGCAACTGCAAAGCTTTTCCCTGTCATCGTTTTCCACAACAGAAAGCTGGAATGTAGGCAACAGCTGAAAGTTATTCCACAAAATCTGTTTACAATGTGCTTGGCAGAAGAAAAACAAAAAGTTGCTCATCTCAACTTCTCTGCTGGGCCCCAGACTCACCAATCATCACCCTGGCAAATAGAAGCTTAACCTTATTGATGTTCAAAATAAAACTCGTTACCTTTCCCCTTCTCAAATATGCTCCCACATCCACAGTCCTTAGTTTCAGAAACAAAGTGCCACCACCCACACAACTGTCCAAGCCGGGTGCTTCAGAATTACCTTAAAATTGCCTCTTCTCTTAGCACCACTACGACACTCTGGGCAGTGGGTACGTGTTCTTAGTATCCCTAACTTGGAGCCCAACAGGAGCCCAACACATACCGGGCACACAATGACCGCATCAGTGTGAATCCCAAACGCCTCTCCCCCTCCCCACAACCCCACCCTACTTACGTTCTAGGCCTGCAGCAGCTTCCTGCCTGCCTCCGGGCTCTTCCCTTCCGGCCCTCCGCCTGTCTGCACTGCTCTTTCTGAAGAGTAAGTGCAAAACAAGCCGGCAACTGCAAAGCTTTTCTGATGGGCTGTCTCCTCCTAAAACCTTCTGAGCTCCCCACGCCACGGTCCTCTGCAAGCTTCCCGGGCCCTTTCTGATCTACCCCCGCCCACTTTTCATTGCTTTATCTTCACTGCTTGGACATTTTTAAGTTTCTGACCGTGGTTCATGCTGTTTCCTCTACTGAAAACCAACCTAACTATTCCGCTCTGTGCCCCGCACAGGGCTTCACTTCTACCGTGTCACGCTTAGCTGCACGGGCTCCCGTTTATTGTCCCCACTCAACCCTCATCTTCCCAGATTAGAGCTCCTTCAATGCAGGACTCCTGAATATTCATCCCCAGACCCAGGCCTGTTCGGGTGCATGGCATACAGCAGGTGTCCAACTGACTTCTGAGTTTACAAAGATACCAGGTTAATTATAAAAAGTCACAGAAGATTAAAAACAAAAGAAAAACACTTCCCAAGAGGGATACGTACTCAGTAATCCACAGGTGTTAGTAACAACAAGGTCAAGTACAACACACTAAAGTTAATATGCTTATGCTCTCATAAGTGTCTACGGGACTCAATGGCACTGGCTCGGTGACTGAGAGTCACAGGCCTTGACTGATATAACCACGGTGGTAACAAGAGCCGGCGTGTGTTGAGCACCTGGCCCAGTCACTACGTGCTGGGTAAGCTCCACGTATCATTTATTGTGATCATCAAAGCGGGCCTATAAAATGGATACCATTGTGGCCTCTGTTTCATTTACAGGAAAACACACCACCGAAATCCAAGACAGGGAGAGTGAGGACCCTCCCCAGAGGCCACTCAGCTGGTGAAGGAAGCAGGGATTCAAATTCAGGCTTTCGACTGGACAGCCTTAACTGAACTAGTACAACAGGCCACCGTTTTTCAGATGACAGGTGTGGCAGAAAAACTACAAAATGTCAACATGTACTACTTGATGGACACAAAGGCCCTGAGGTCAAAAGCACAGGAGAGGAAAAGGATGAAAAGTAGAGACAAAAAGAGAAACGTCATCACTGTGGCTGCTGATTCCAGCAGCAGGAAAAGCTGCACCCTGGGGACATTGGGACTGGCAGAGGCAGTCACAGTACTGAGGGGACAGAGGTGGGTGATGCCCACCAAGTCTCATTCTCCAGGGAGCCTGACAAATTCTAGAACAACCTTCCTGAGGATGTCATCTCTCAGCAGGAAAGACAGTGAGGGGCAGACCCTCAGCCTTATTTTAGCCAGCAGAGACACTGCTTGGTTAAAAAGCAGAGTAAGCCGTGATAACCTGGTACAGAAATTATAACTTATTTTCCTGTAGGTTATCAGAATGAAAATCAGAGAGAATGAGGAGGTGGAGGCATTGCCCCCTCCGGTGTGCTCCTCCCCCCACCAATTATGTATTCAAGTCCCAGTGAGATTCGGGAAAGGTTAGCAGTGGGGGGGTCTGGATACCAGGGGCAATGGGAATGGGAGGGCGGCCGAGGCAGGCAGTGGGCGGAAAGCAAAATGCAAACTTCACACACCTGAATGCAAATTCAAGGTTGCCTCTTTCAAGCTGCATGATTTTGTGCTACTTGACCTCTACTTAGTGTGTTTCTCCCCTCACAGGTAGAATGGAGATAACACTACCTTCTTCACGAGGCCCAGGTTCAATGAGACGATGAGAAAAAGCACTGGGCTCATGCTCGGCACGCAGTACGCACACAAACAATGCCAGCCATGAACGTGGTCACTGTCAGATTTCTCTACAACTCGTTACCCACGATCACCTCTCACTGCCAGTTTGTTTGCTGTTGCTCCACAGTCTTCATGGCACATACTGCAAACCCTGGCGGAAAACAAGGGAAGTGATCCTGCCCGCGGTGCGTCAGAACTCCAGCTGCACGACAAACACGCACCATGCCCTGAAACGCCGCTGTGCTAGCTGAGCTGGAGGGGGCAACGGGCAGTGTGAGTGAAGGCAACCCTGGCTTACAGCACTGCGTGGCCTTTGGGGAACAGGGGAAACTACCACTGACTTCTCCTGAGCTGCAAAGGCGAAGCTGTATCCCAGCTGGCAATGACAAAGAACCCCCTGAACAGCCAAATGTGCCCTTGGTGTTCTGGATGTCCGCTTTGGATTAATCGTCCGGTGATATGTAAACAATGAGGCACTGGCTGAAAACTCTGCTGGCAGTGAGCAGCAGGTCCCTTGTAGGCTGGCCTTTAGAGCGGGTCACTCTGGTTTGCGTCCATGTGTTATGAGGGGAATGACAAAACAAGGTGAAGCCGTGTCTAAGCCTGAGATGCCAAGGTGCAGGTGGCGGGAGATACACGAAGATGACCTGCTGGCCTCCAGGACATACTGAGTACAGCAAGGCTGTCTCGGAAAGCTTTTTTCCCAAAAGTGGAAACAGCTTTGTTTATTTGTTCTTATTATAAAAGTAATGCACTTTTAATGCTCTAAAAAATATATTAGGAATTACAAAAGTGTAAGGGAAATCACACAGAATCCCAGCACGCAGAGACCATAACAGAATCTTGTAATAAAAGGCACTGTGTGCACACAGCAATGAATGTGCACATGCGCATCACCAGACCACTGGGAAAATGGGTAAAACGGCTGTGCCTGCAGCACTGACCTGGGGGAGGCGGTGGCAGCATAGCGTTGGTCAGGGAAGCTCCCGGAGAGCTCTGGGCCAGACTAACAGGAGAGAGGACTGCAGCTGAGAATGACAAGGACCAGCAGAACCACAGCCCCAGGGTCGCCACCCGCAGAGGACGGATTTCACCCCTCATTACAGTTTTAGGTCTTTGCTGCTAAGTAAGCTTTATTCCGTAAACCCTACCAATGAAATTGGTCCACAAACAAAAGATGTGAAGAAGGTAGATTAGTCTGGAAGCTGTTTAGGTCAGATACTAACGCACTCAGCAACCCCCTTCAACTTGGGCTAAAGCTTAATATCCCACTGGGATCTTGCCTGTCCAGACTCATCCAGCCTCCGTTCTACGCCAAGCACAGGTTACAGTGTGAGTGCACAGAGCAGGCAGGTAGTAAAATGAGTACCTACAACAGCGAGACGGACGCCTAACACACAGCAACGCTCCACAAATCCCCCGTGGCCGCATCAGTGTTGGGACAGAGGCGCGCACAGACGATGGGGGTCTATCACCTTGGCGTAGCACCGATAAGCTGGACGGTTCCCTATTTTGTACACGCATACGTAAAAACCATCCCTAGGAGAATAAACAGCTGGTGGATGTCAAACAGACAGGAACTAACAAGGCTGATGGCACAAAAAGGGGAACAGGGAGCGACAGTGAGGAGAAAGGAGAAATACCATCATTTTATATAAAAGAATATTTTAATTACTGTCCTCAGAACTATAAAGACTATACATGATTTGGAAAAGTGGCTCTATCAAGCGCTGGCCAAAGAAGAACGATCCACTCTAGGCCTTCTCCTTCGTCTGGTCACTTAGAAATATGATGTTATCTGTAAAGAAGCCAGAGCATAAACATTACTTTCAGAACTCGTCGCCATCCCTCTTCATCATTCCCTCTAAGACACACACACTTCAGTGCTGTTAGCTAAAAAGATGTCACACAGATCCTCAAAACACTGCATAACCCTGCGGTGTTCCCGGGAGGCGTATACAACAGGCGTGATGGAGCTCACAGCCGGGCTGCAGCTGTCTGTCAGGCAATTGGGCCTTGCGAGAGGAGGAGACATTTCTCAGTTTCCCTGAGGAGAGCTGAGGTCTTCTCAGCAGTAACTTTCTACCAAATGAGCCACAGATTCCGAAACTTTCCGTGCTCAGACAGGGCCCAGAGCAGGCAGCACACCCTCCCGCAGAAGGACCCAGGCCCAGCGTCCCCCTGCCGGGGCGTGGGGGAGGGGGAGGGGCAGGGTTGGACACAAGGCCTTGTGAGGAAGGACAGACTTATTTCCATGTTCAAGGAAGTTTGAATGCTCACATACAAGCATTTTATTTTTAAATTTCAAAACATTTAGTTTTACGTATCTATTCTTTGGAAAATTCTTACTAATCAGTATTACAGAGAGCATTTTTATCTAAGAACATCAGACATTACTCTTAAACTGCTGTCCCAGATGGAGTTCATCCCAGATGGGGTTTGTTTAGGACAAGCAAAGGAAAAGAAGTAAGTAGTACTTCCTGCATAGCTCCAAAGGATCCAGACTCCTTTAACTTGAAATTACTCAAAAATGGTTATTACATAATGACTGAATATTTGTTCATAACTATATGCATCTAAAAATAGAATATTCTGAGGCAGAATGGTTATTTCAGGAGAGTATCAGAGCTGTGACACTGTGGAGGCAAGAGCGCCACCCACTGGCGGGGGTTTCTAAGTTACAGACATGACCTTTCAGAATTAAAAATCCAGCCATGAAACAGATCAACCAAATAAACTCTACTCCCTTCAATTCAAATGTCACTAAAGACCTATTCATTTTTACTATGACCTATAAGCCTACATTAATTACTCAACCACCCATGCTAGTGAATACTGTAACAGGAAAAACACAAATTAGCAGATAATCTGAAATGCATCTGTTTGGCTAGGTTTATAACAATTCACACAATCCGAAATCAGTCCACACATTTGGTATCCAGAGAAACAGGAAAGTGTTAAATGCTCGTAAAATAAATAATTGAGAAAGATACAGAAATGTCCATTGTTAACAAATGTCTTATTTTAGTACTTTATCCAAGAATGGGTGGGGGACCATTTATCTCATTATAAAATGAACTGTCAATTAAATTTCAGTTTTTCTGGGGTTTTTTAAATAATTTCTTAAAAGATTTTATTTATTTACTTTTTTAGAGAAAGGGGAAGGGAGGGAGAAAGAGAGGGAGAGAAACATGAGTGAGTAGTTGGCTCTCACACACACATGCCCCCTACTGGGTACCTGGACGACAACCCAGGCACGTGCCCTGACTAGGAATCAAACCAGCAACCTTTCCATTCACTGGTTGGCACTCAGTCAACTGAGCCACACCAGCCAGGGCAGTTTTTCTATTTATATATCAAATTATATACTAAAATTATGTACAAATTATGTTTTAATCAATTATGTACTAAAACTAACTGTAATAACCCAATGAAGAAAAAATGTACATTTAGCACCTTTCAGAGAATTAGGGAAAAACTTCTTAATTTCTCTTTAAGTATGTAATTTTTTACAAATATAAACTATAGTTTATTCTGATACACCTGAAAGGAGAAAATGGAACGGACACACACGTTCAGAGAAAAGGCACCGCAGTCACGTGCCACTGGATGGCGGAGTCAGGTTCCGAGAAATGGGTGCTGGGCGGTCCCAGTGTGGTGCTGACGCCACAGAGGGCACTGACTCAGACCCGGATGGCCCAGCCAACCGCACGCCCGGCCATGCGGTGCAGCCTGGTGCTCCTGGGCTGCAAGCCTGTGCAGCCTGTTACTGTACCCAAGTACGCACCATTACGTCAGGCTCGAGAAAAAATGATAAACCCAGAGGTGCTGGGTGCAACACTTTCTGTTCTGTATCAAAGTTCCTTTTCATAAGTAGAGAGTACATTCTAAGATGGTAACAGTGTGGTAAATATATAAACCAGTAACACAGTCATTTAACACTATCAAGTAGCACACACATAACTGTGTGTGCTATACTTTTACACAACTGGCAGCGCAGGCTTGTTGACACCAGCACACCTCACACAGGTGAGTAACGTGTTGTGCTGTGACATTACAATGACTACCACGTCACTAGGCCACAGGAAATTTTCAGCTCCATTATAATATTATGGCCCCACCGCCCACATGTGGTTCTTTGTTGACCCAAGGTCTTTATGTGGTACCTGACTGTAAAATTTCCAAATGCTGAAGAGCTTGTTCATAGATTTTTTTTAAACGACAACAGGTATCAAATTACTATGGTATTGAGATCCATTAATACATTTAAGAGAAGAATGTCATATTGAAAAAACATTAATGTCAACTTAAAGATGTCCAAAGGGGTATAGTTTTCAAAATTCCCGTAGAATTTTGAAACAAGTCTGAAAACTGCTCTAGGAGATAGCTTCTTAATATTCTTTAACCCTGTGTGTCTATCTTTTCCAGGTTATTTTGTACGTTGTTTAATGAGAACAACAGGAATTTAAAATGAAAGCATCATAAGCACCAAAAAGGTTCTACTAAATAAATCTGCACAAACGTCCAATGCTGCGCACACCGGTGCAGCTCCGCCTTGCCACAGGCTCCTCCCTGTTTAGGCCGTGCCCTTCAAAGGCCCTGCGTTTCAGCGCAGCTGACTCCACAGTCAGAACCAGCACAGATAGTTCCATCTATGCTCAGCACTGCTTGTGAATTAAAGCGGTCTGAGCATGGAGATGATTTTCTAAAGGAATAGGTAAATGTGTGCAGGCCCACAAACCACACCCAGAATCCCTCTGGTGAGCTGCAGGACGATCCCATCAGCATCAGCACTCCCAGCCCAGCTGAAGTCACTTATAACACAGCCAAGCTTCTAAAGAAGGGGGGGAAAGAGGACAGCTGTCATCACAAGCTTCTTACCAGCTATGATTGTTGTTGCTTGCCGCCTCACATTATTTTTATCCATGTATTCACCGTAGTCTACTTTCCCTTCCACATAAATTCGAGACCTGAAATAAAATGTATGGCTTTTATCCTGGGGATTAATATGCTTTACAGGAGTCAGATCAGAAGCAGTAGTGAGTATACACTAAAAATGAAACATACAATCACAGATAACCTCATTTTTGCTACCACTTTGCAAAGCTCAGAATTACGAGTACTGAAATAGCATGTACACACTTGAGTCCTCTCATTAAAAAGGACAATGTTTTCATCCTTGAACTGACTGGGGTCCCAAGAAAGTTTACATACCCAAAGAGGACACACAGATGGCCAACAGACGTGAAAAGGTGCTCGTTGTCACTATCATCAGAGAAATGCATAAAAACCAATGAGATACCACCTCAAACCTGTCGGAAGGGCCATCATCAATACATTATCAAAGTACCGAAGAGGATGTGGAGAAAAGGGAACCCCCGTGCACTGCTGGTGGGAACGCAGGCTGGTGCCGTCGGTGTGGAAAGAACTCAGAAAATTAAAAATGAACCTGCCTTTTGACCCAGCAATCCCACTTCTGGGAATGTATCTGAAGGAAGCCAAAACACTAAGTGAAAGAACGTAAAGCACCTCTATGTTAATTGCAGTGTTATTTACAATCACCAAGATATGGAAGCCCCCCAAGTGTCCATCAGTAGGTGAGTACATAAAACAATTACAGACATTCACACAATGAAATACTACTTGACCATAAAAGAAAATTTTACCCTTTGCAACAGCATGGGTGGACCTGGAGAACACTGAGCTAAGTGCAATAAGCCAGTCAGAGAAAGACAAATACCATATAATTCCACTCATATGTGGAATCTAAAGAACTGAAATAACAAGGAAAATGGGGACAGACTCACAGATGGAGAGTAGGATGACAGCTACGGGTACAGGCAGGGAAATTAGGGAGTGAAAGGACTGAGCGAAAAGGAAAAAGGACTCGTGGACATGGACAACAGTGTGGTGACTGCTGGGGAAAGAGGGGAATAAGGGGGCTAAATAGAAATGGAAAATACATACAATAAAGATAAAAAGTTTTGTGTTTTTTTAAAGATTTTATTTATTTATCTTTAGAGGGGAAGGGAAGGAGAGAGGGAGAGAAACATCAATGTATGGTTGCCTTTCGTGCGTCCCCTGCTGGGAACTGGCCTGCAGGGAACCTGCCTGCAACCCTGGCATGTGCCCTGACTGGGAATCGAACCGCGATTGTCTGGTTCACAGGCCCACGCTCAATCCACTGAGCTACACCAGCCAGGGCTTAAGATAAAGTTTTAAAAAAATTGTTTTCAAAGTCTTAAGCTAAAATTAACAAAAAAAAAGAAAAGCAACCTTAAGACCACGACAGCAGAAGGGTGACCAAGTTGCAGCCTTCAAATGTCTTGGGTTGGTCTCCAATGTGTCATTTCCCATGACCCTTGATTTTGGACCCCTAACAGATCTGACTTTCACTTATTTTCCAATTCCTAAAGTTATTCTCAAGAGGCTTAAATTATTAAAATTCAAAATGGAGGTTTACAGCTTAGGGTTTCACTCATAGTCACTAGGACTCTCTGCACCAGCTAACAGGCTGAGCCAGAAGACGGTCAGAACGAGCCGGGGGGGAACTGCAGGCACACATTTTCCTTGAAACTTCTACCAATTTGCGTGTGTGTGCAGATGTTCACACATACATGTATAAAGGACAATGGAGGTGCACACAAAGAAAAGGTCACTGAAGAGAAACTGAAACTGCAGTCTCCGCTGAAGTTACTGTTCATGACATACATTAACTGTGACCACTCCTGCTGTTAAACACGCCCTTTTGTCCTGTGGGTTCAGAAAAAGCACTCAAAAGAGAGCAAAGAAGCCAACATAAAAATGTCAAGTACGGAATAACTGATGTGAACGTGACCGTAACACCTCACCGTGTCAGGCTTCGTGCACCCCAGATCCTGTGCCAAGGCCGTCACGTGGCAGACAGACGCACGCACCATTGCCGGGACCCCTATAAACCTCTGCTGCATGTGCTCCGGGGCACCCGGTACACCTGCCTTCCCCCTGGTCTCAGCCGCTTCTGTGTATGCACGCACCCTGTTTTCCCTAAGCTCTAAGGTCTCAGAAGATTAAACCAGGTTTCATCCGCCGTTTCACACAAAGCAGCACTTGCAAAGTATTAAGCACTGCATAAATCTCTCGAGTTCATATAATTAGTGGTACTCAGGAACAAAGGCGTTACACACTCCATGAGGAATACTCATCAGATTTTAAACCACTCCAGTTGTAAGCCTCGCCCTGCCACAACTTACCCCTTTTTCACATACTGGTACGCCACATCTCTGAGGCCTGGCCGGAAGACTGAAATTCTGTGCCACGTTGTCTTTTGACTAACATCACCTAAATCACAAGAACGGGAAACAGGGTTACAAAGGCCAGCAGGCCACAGAAATGCCAAGGTACCCATGCCCAGCACAACCAAAGTCCCTGTGTCCAAGACAACAGAGCAAAGCTAGGGAAGAAAGGTCCTTTCTGAAAGCAGCTCATCTCTAGTGAGAGAACTGGAAGTAAACAATGTCTCTTTATTGCTGGTAACATTACCAACCCAGTCTTTTAACTCACCCATTTGGTATGTTTCGTTTTCTCCTGATTTCCACATCTCATTTGTGGCTAAAGAGAATATTGTGACCGGGTTTTTCCCTTCTGCCTGTCTCATGACAGGGTCCTGACCCACTCGCCCGAGTAACTGCACACGGTTCAGAGCTGAAATGCAACATGTAGGTAAAATAAGACCAGAGTAACATCCACAAGAGGCAAATCAGTCGAAGGGACAAATAATGAGAGACTGGGAGTAGAGGGTGGACAAGAAGAGAGGAAATATTCTTAGAGTAGCCCCACAAAACAATGTTAAGCTCTTTATATGAAATTCTTCTTTAAAATACCTTTAAAACAAACAAAAAAAACTGTCTCATTAAAAAAAAAAATCTGAGATCTGAAAATCTTTACAAATACAAGAAAATGCATCTATGAAACAACAGGCTTCACAAACTTTCGGTCCCTTGGCCAAATAGCACATAACCTTCAAAAACTCAAGGAAATTCTACCACAGGAAAGAGACAAGAGGGAGTAAAAACTGACTGGTAATGGAAGAAGGGCCCAGTTCACACTCAGCCCTGCAGCCTGACGGGGCAAGCCAAGATCCGAGAGGCCAATGTGAGCCAAAGGCATGATGACTAACAGATCATAACCCAACCAGTGCACCTCTGCAACACATTTGTGAAAATATTAGCACACTGCTGGAAACTGCATACTTTAAACTTGGAACTTAGCTACTACTTACATCTTTCAAGAACCAAGCTGCTTACTGTTTCAGACTCATGTCTTACAAATTGATGAAACACCTAAAGTGGAACAAATGAATAAAATGGGTATAATTTTTTGGAATATGGGGGAGAGGCAAACACACACAGGAGACCTCCTCACATTCGGGCACCATCCAGGCAGCTGCTCCCATGGCACGCGTCCACAGAAGACAAAAGACGCACACCTCCCATGATGTCCCATCGCATGGCGCCAGAAGGACCATGCGCCACTTAGGGTGGCCTACTACAGAAGCCCAAAGGTATTGGGTTGGCCAGAAAGTCAGTTCAGCTTTTTCCATAAAATAGAAGACATCCTTCATTTTCACCAATCACTCTATTGATTTGGATATTTTGAGTATGTTGCCTATTTCCCATATAGTATAAATTGACTGCTCTAAATTAATGTCTCGGTTTGATCACTATCAACTTCAGCTGGTCCACCAGACAGTGAAGCATTGTTCAGTGACAAATCTCCAGCACAAAACTTCAGAGCACTTTTGACACATTTGATCAGTCATAGCACCTTCTCCACACACTGCACAAATCTTTTTTGCATTTCAGTTGTGTTTTTATTTCTCCTGAAATAACAAAAAAATAACATGCTGGAAGTGTCGCATATTTTCTCTATCTTCAACATGAAAATGGCTACACAAAAATTTGCCAACTTTGGTAAGTTTTTTTTTAAATGCACACTGATATGACAGCTGTCACAATACAATCCAACAATATTGTTTCAAATTAAGTCAAAGACAACTAAGTGTTACCAGGGCCATCTTACAGACAAATGAACTTTTTGGCCAACCCAGTACAACAGAGGCACCAGACAGCATGCCCAAGACAGTGAACAGAGTCTGCTCCTGTTTCTTTTGTGGTAACACTCTTGATTATGGTGCCTCTGTGGCTGCCTGCATAAGGTAAAATCCAATATGTGCTGGAAAAATTCATGTTTTCAATGGGCCAAAGAAAAAAGGCTCAGATAGTCAAAATTTGGTTCTTTGAAAAATTTCAAAGATGTGACTGTCCAAATGCATGTGCCAGAAAAGGCAGTCACTGCCATGTAACAGCAGCGCTCACTGATGATGACAGCTATCATGACTGGACACCAACCAAGTGCCTTAGCTCTTACCAATTAATCCTGAGAATAAATCAATGAACTATGCAAAATTATCCCCACTTTAGAGATGAAAGAAAATGAAGTTCTGGGACATTAAGTAACTTGCCCAAACCCTATAGGAAGTAAGTGGCAAGTCATGCCTAGAACCCAGAACCTTCCAACATCAGGGCTGCTGCTTTCCCAGTGCCCTCTGGAGCCTCCTTAAAGGCATTCTGTTCCAGGGCTACTGCTAAGATATGAGCACACATCACTGGGCCCATCTCTGGGTTCATAGTGCTAAACCGTGACATCAAAGGAACCCTATATGCCAAGTGGCAGCACTGTTCATGTATAAAGCAGATGTCCACCAATCAAATAAACACCCACCATTTCTGGGGTACTGTTGGCTAATGAAGCCTATTGCTATGTTTTGGGGCCAAAGGTGGATAAGAAAATAAAGATGCCAGTCAGAACATACTAAAGAATCAAGCTGCTAACTAGTCATGTGTATAATGATTCTTCTAGAAGTACACTAATTTCAGTATGCCTATGAATCAGGTGGGCTCTTAAGTCATGGAATAATGTTTCACTTCGGACCCTCCATTTTGGACACAAAAATAAGGACCCTCCATATCAAATCAGTACACATCAAATGGTTGGGCTCAAAGGTCTTCTGCCTCTGCAGCCAAATTTCTAAAGAAATCTAACCACAGAGGCTGATAATAACCCATCTTGGCACTAACGTGGAAAAGTGATTACCTGTAATACAGGCCTTCGAAACATTGCTTCTACTTTTCTTTTCCCACAATCCAATCTTTAGTCTTTTCCTGAAAGGAAAAAAAGAGGGAGATAAATGAATACCACCTCTCATAGCAAGAGCACGAATTCACTAATCCTGAATTCCTACGTGCTCTCCTCACTTTTACACCACCCACCTTATGACCATAACACGTCGACAGTCCTACACAGCTGACGAGGATTCCTCCCCAACAAAAACCTGACACCTGGATCTTTTTGATCCCCGTTAGCTTCCTCGTTCTCCAACTCATAAGAAAAATTCTTATAGTGAGTTATTCCCATTCCCATTCCAGTCTTCTCAAATTTTATTAATAGGCAGGCTCCCGGAGGTCAGGGATTTTTGTCGGATTTACTCACTGTCAAATCCAATCCACCTGAAACAGTTCCTAACACATAGGAAGGGCTCCATACACATTGCGATGTCAGCAAGGGACTTAAATCTGAAACTTGTTGCTGCAAAAATTACTGCCTCCATCCCGATTAGCAAAGACTAAGGAGAGTCCTGGGCTCCCCGGCCTTGTCGCCGGGGATGGCAGGCGCTCTTTCTCAAAGTGGCTCTCCCAGCAAATGATGTAGAGGGGCTGAGATATGAGAGGAAACCGCAAAGTCCTCCCCACGCGTGACAAAAGAAGGGACAGACACCGACAGCACCACCTCCGACCAACACAGGGCCGCACGAACACCCAGCACAGAACTCATGCCGTCCTCCTATCCTCACCAGGCGCACCAGCCAAACAGTGCGGAGACAGCAGGTCGCTCACCGGCGCAGGTGTGACGCAAGACTCGCGAGAAAAAGGAGAAACCGGAAAGTCCGTGGCGTGCGTGGTCCAAAAGCGCCCAGCCAATCACCGCGGGAGACACGCCCCCTTAACGCATTGGTTCCGGGAACTTTTTCCACCAGCGCGACCGGGAAGTCTACGCCGCCAAGTGGTGAGTGGGACTGATTTCAAGTTTCAAATGAAACGGAATTCCTAACCGGGCCCTGGAGGAGGGGTCGAGGTACGCGACACAAAAGATAGCTCCGCCTCTGGAAAACTAGAAAAATTCAGACGTCCCAAAACAGAACAAGAACTAAAAAAAGGAGAGTGGGCATAGAGCTGAGAATGCAAAATAAGGAGTCGCCAAAAATTGGCAATCAATGTAAGTATTTTAATGCAATGTTTAAAAAAGCGAAAATTGATGCAAAAAAGTTCGTGCTGAACAGAGATTAGTATTTTAATTAAATACAAGCTTTGAGCCATACTGGATTCTGAGGCAATTGGAAAAAAATATGCGCCCCTCTATTTCTACGTATTCAAAAAAATATCCAAACTATTACATTTTAAATTGAAGAAATAGTGAATAATTCAAAAGTAGCTGTATTAAAACTTACAATATTGTTTAAAGTTTAAATATTTTATTTATACCAATAACACTTTATTATAATTTTACTTTCCTGGCTTTAATGGACACACACTGCTTGGTAATATTTTCAATATCGAATAATATCGGCTTATTTCCAACTGCAAGAATTGTCATGTCTGACAACTTTTCTTGACCAAGTGGCCATCTTGAATAATTTTAATTAACTTCAGCTTACAGATCTTGTATTTATTTAAAATTCTGGTATTTCATTTATTATGGATATTTTTATTAATTTTAATATTTCTAAAATATTGCATTAAAGTATCATTAACCTGGATGGCTGACTTTTGGTGCCCCTTAAATTTTGTCTCCTTCACCCTAATCTTGGCCCTGGTAATGAAGAGGAATCTGGAGCCCCTCAGATTGCAGAATAAAGGCCAGAGAGGGTTTCCCCCTTATCCTGGTCCTTGCAACTTCCAGCTTCTAGAAAAGGAAGGTACCCTCTAGATCATTCTAACACATGCAAATTTCCTCAGGACCCAGCTTAAAACCCTTCAATGTCCACCTTTGCCCCTGAAGGAAAAACTGTGAACTGCTTAACATGGTTCCCAAAACACACCTCGACCCACGTAAAAGTCTGACTTAATGGTTGGTATTATTGACATAGAACATCCCAAACCTGTGAAAATGCTTTAGAAGTTTATTGAGCTACACTGATGACATATGCTGGGGAGCAAAATGTGACATATTCCATAGAATGGCAGTTTTGCAGCTTATTTTTTACATTAGAATCAAAGAAGAAGATGTAAGGAAGGTGCATGAACTTCATTGATGGTACATTACGAAAGTTGAAGAAAGCATGGGGGGAGTGGGAAATCTCTAGGCTTAGATACAAGGCAAATGGAGAAACTTTTTACGATGGAAGGTATAGAGTAGTAATTAACAAAGCACATAGAGATGGTTGTGGGGAACAAGATAACGATGAGGAATTCTGTGGGCTCACACTGTGGTGCTGATGATTGTGTCTTCTGAGGTACAAAAAAAAACCGAAATAGGCTCTGACATTTCAAATGTACATTATGCTAGCTACATAAGAACAATGGACAGAGGTCACTTAAAGATTGACCTTTGCCAAAGGCCTGGGATGCCCAGTTAAGAATTTGTAATCAGACCATCCTGTGGGGTTACTTTGGGTCACTGAGCTTGTCAGGCCTGCCTTGTGTCCTGCCCCCCAGCCCCTTCACAAGGCTTGTCGGTTTTATTGCACAGTCCCCTTTTTATTCACAGTATATTTCTATATGTTTAGCTCCATTGTATGTCTCCCTTCACAATGTTTAATTCCTGAAATACTGTTGTTAACCAGTAATGATTTGAGGCTGTAAAACAAATTAAAAGCTTATTTGGAGTATTGAAGGATTCAATCCAAACAAGGAAGATTCAGGAAGTAATCCAACTGCACTCTGGAGAGAAGAACAAAGAGAGGCGGGGTTTATAAAGACAAAACCCACAAAATGTCATTCTTTTATGCAAATGAAGGATTGCCCCCAGTTTATTAAGGATTGGTTGATTCCAGTATGCAAATGAGGGGGTGAAAGTACAAAGGAGGAAGGTCCACAGAGGTCCAGGTAGCAGCTGTTGTTCTGGGATGTTTATGGCTGGGCCTTGAGCTGAGTTTAGAAATAGGTTTAGCAGCTTAATAGCAGCTCTGAGAACTGGGGCACAAGGTGTACCTCACTTCCTTAATAGCCTCCTGACTATTTTAAGGGACCCCCTTAGCAACGTCTATTCCATTTTATTATACTGTCTTTAGGCCTTGTGCAGGTATGAATCATTCCACATTCCACCCACTAAATCACTACCGTCAGTGCCACTCTGATTTCCTATTTAAAAATTCTCCTTCCCCTTGAGATGTTAAGTCAAATAAAAATCTAAATTTGTCTTTTCCTTTAAAGACAGTGTTTCCCCTTCCAAGCTCCTGATTTGTGTTAATGGTGCCAAGATGCTCCCAGAGTTGAACTTTGAAATTATCTTTAAAACTTCTCCCTGATCCCCTACATCTATCCCTCCATATACAGTCATTTGGCTCTAAAAGTTCTTTCTCTGTTATACCACTAATCACTCCCTCTTCGTGTTCACAAGTACTTTGTGGTAAGAAGAATGGAAAAGGTTGGTCTAAAAAAAAAAAAAGCACCATGCACATTGAAAATAGACACAGTATCTTCCACACCCAGCAGTGCCTATGTAGCAACTTTTCTTTTGGTGACTTCCTGCCCCATGGGGACCAGCAAACGACAGAGGGAGAGAAACCAATAATCCGCCACCCAGTCCATTCAGGTGTCATGGTAGGAACGTGGTAGAGAAGTCATCATAGTCCCTAATAGGAGTAGTTGTCATTGGCTAAGAAGACAAATATAACGAAAAAATTCCAGTCTGTACACTGCATACTCTTAATCTGCCTGTTTATAATCACGAATTGGGGTTGACCTTGTACTCTACTGCAAAGGACAAGGCTGGCTTGGGAGAGGCAAGAAATAAATTAACTTAATTTTGAAACCTTGAACAAAGATTGGTTTTTAAAAATGGCGATGGGCAATATGGAGCTCTGTACCCCCACTAAACAGCACAGAAAGAATTGCTACTGTAAGAAAGAAGAAAAACTGTATGATGGTTTATTCCATTGAAAAATAACAAAAATTAAGGGAAAAGAAGAAAATAAAGCATTAAAAAATTCTTACAAACCATTTATAGGCTACTTTATTAATGGTACACAATTATCAAATGCCTTAATGACCAACATTATTTTATGTCATAGACTGGCCATTTTAAGCTTTTGGGGCTGTGAAACTGGGCCTCAAAGCCAAGACCTGTCAGTACAAGCCTACTAAATTGTCACCTACCTACTTGTGAAATGGTTTCCAACATAAGTTTCTCATTCTTTGTTAGTTACATATTACAAAGAAGAGTTCTTTACCCAGATTTGGCTTTGGACAAGATAAAAACCTTTATTTACAAATATTCTATTCCTTTAAAAATATGTACAGAGAAAAGGATTTGAGATAAAATATGATAAAAATCACAGGAAACAAAGCCAAATTTTGATAAAATCAAGGAGAAATTGGTGACATGCAAAAAATCAAAACCAGTCATAGCACTTACAAGAGTGTCAGGGTGAATAGACCAAGGAGAGAGAATCACATCAAACTTCTCTCATCCCCTCGACCCAGTACTTTTGTCTCATCAGTTAACAGCCAGCTCAGAAACTTCAAGGTACATGTAGTCTTATTTCTGCTCGCCTCAAATAATGATGAAGTCATTTATACTTAATAAATACAGGATCTGAGAAAGAGATCATCTCCATTCAGAGAACACAGTAGGAAAACTAAAGTGGCTGAGAATTCTTTCACAAATACCATCATACAGCCTAGGAGACATTTGTTGAAATCCAGGTACATTTTCTTGTAAGCTGATGCCTCAATTCAAACAAGGTTGTGTGTCTTTCTATGTGCAGGGAGAGCCACTGGGATCCTTCCTGGGTAATTAGCTAGAGCAGCCTCTTAATGCACAGGCTGCAGCAAGGGCTGCTGATTCCTTCTCTCCCGTGAGTTCAGAAGCCCATGCTTTCCCGTTGTGCCCAATGAATGTGAGAAATGGACTCTGGGTGGGCGGCGTTAGGAGTATAACAACAGGAGATTACTGTGCCTGTGACCAGTGCTGTAGGACGATGCCTCAGTAGCTTTAGGATCTTGGCTATAAGTGCTAGATTAGGGAATACTTTTGACATCTTCGGGCGTTCAAGTTGGTTAATCTTTCCACTTGCAAGAGGGAGTCTGGCACAGTCAGTGTTTACTATGGGTCGGTGTGAAATGAGTCCCTAGGACAAAGGCTTCTCATAGGTGAAGCTCAAAGACTTCGCGCTCTTTCCTCCCACCAGGCGTTTGGTGCGTGATCCTGGGGGGGTCTCCAAGACCTTGGGGTCACTCTGGCCTTCCTGGGGGGAAAGGGCCTGCTGGACTTCTCTCAGTTTCCTGGCAATGAAAGAGGACAAACACGTTACTCCATCCTAAATTAGAGATATTTATGATCAACACTGACGTAAGAAGAGGTATTTCTTTTTACTTCAGTATGTACACAAAGCAGCCTTAAGCTGTACACGGAACGGAAAGTCCGCTCCTGTGGCTGTCTTAGAACATGGCCACCACACACAGCCAGTTAGTTTCCCAAATCCTGCTGATCGGGGCATGGGTGGTCTTTAAAAAAAAAGTTGGGGGGGTGGGAGCAGAGCTACAAGCTATATATGAAAGCACAGTGCAACAGCCCCTGGGCCACATCTGGCCAGCCACCTACTTTTGCTAATAAAGTTTTATTGGAAAATTTAGCACCCTCATTCATTTGCATGTTTCCTACCGCCACTTTCACATTACTGTGGCAGAGTTGAGTATGGCAGCCAAGATCAAATGGCCCACAGAGTATAAAATATTTACCACCTAGCTCTTTATGGGATAGTTTGCCAACCCCTGGTCTAGACAATGGCAAGAAGGCAGCTGACCTTGCTCTATGATGGGTGCTCATTACTGGTCATTACTGATGACAGTCACCTGTTCCCGTATAGGTGGGTTCATAGGTTATACACAGCACACCTGAAGGAAAACTTACATTCCTGTGATAATGTGTTTGTTGTGTGTGTGTGTGTGTGTGTGTCTTTTGTTTATTAGCTAGGAAGATGGAATCCAAAACGAGAGCAAAAAGATACTAAGTTGCTTGTTAGGAAGAATTGCCTGACTAAAAGCTTAGAGTCTCCACAGGTCATTGCCAAGAAATCATTCTGGGACCTTTTCAAGTTAATTACTCTAAGATGGATTGTGTATCCAAAAGAAGCTGGACTTCTAGAGCTTATTTTACACATGAACCATTTTTCATCTTCTTTTATATTTTCAGGAATGCACAGTGTATATAACAATCACTTTTAAGTGCCTTCAGCCCTTTATACCAGCTCCACCCCATCTCATTAGTTCCCATTTGTTTAATGAGGGAACATTAATGAAGGAATGCGCCCATGAACACAAGCTAATATGAAGAAGTAATCAGACTGCTCCTGTTGGTCTGAAAAATTATCTCTTCCTCTGAACACATACCAACAGGGAATAGCTGCCTGTCTCTGAAATTTAATGGAATTCTGAAATAGGTCTCTTCCCACCTTAACGAAGGTCCCCTCGCACTTGGAGTTCATCCATCAGTTTCTAGAACACCTGCTGCCACTCAGAACCCTACTACGTTTTCTTTCCCAGTTGTATTCCCTGTATTCTTCACTCTGCTTCCTTCGCATTAACTGAACGCGCTCAGTCACTGCGCCTCCAGCCCCGTGCCTCATGCTGCTACTCTCTGTCTGGGTGGAGACCTACGTATTGTAATATTGGCTTCCCCTCACATCCATAGAGAAGATACTCCAGTCATATCAGTATGAGTAGCACACAAGCAGGTTCTTTCTCCACTGCAACACCCGACAGCTACCTTTCCAGTGTGGCTGTCTTCATCCTTTCCAAGTTAAGCTGCAGCTGGAGCTCTTCTGCTTTTCCCAGCGAGGAGCGGAGAACTGGGCTTCTAGCCAGAGCCGCTGCAGAGGGCCTCTCCCTCGGGTCCGGGTGGATCATGCTCTGATGACCGAAGGAAACAGAAGCTTCAGTGTTGAGGAATCTCCCCACCCAGGCCAACTCCGAGCCAGCTTCTGCTGGTGGCTTGGCTGAAACTCTGCTTCTCCTTTGCACAGAGGGAGGAAATAGATGACAACTTTGCTCCACCTGGGACAGGCCACCATCCGCATCTGGTAGCATCAGTCATCTACCAGATCTGACTTATCTTTAAGTATCATAGTTTGGAGCAGGTTGGATGACTGACTAGTCTAATGCCTTGATTTTCAACAGGAAGAAATGGGTCCTGAAATAAAAAGTGGCTTGTCTAAGTTTTTGGCGGGACCGAAACTACAATCCAGGTTACCCAGCTCCCAGTCTGCTTGCTTTCTACCACAGCACGCTCCTTTCTCACGTAAAATTAATTAAAGATACTGCACCGTGACAATATATCCCTACAGCACTTGTCTTCAGGTAGGGGTGGGTGTCTGGAACCTAAAATGACCTGAAGGCAGGAGAAAACACTGAATTACATGCAGCAGTTAGCAGTGTCATGTAATGAACCTTCCATCTGGGGACTGAGGTTCAGAGCCAGTTCCACCATCACCTCTGTCGTCTGGAGCAAGTCACTTCCCTATGCTGAAACTCGGTTTCCCTTTCCTGGTATTTGGGAGAGCAATATCCACCTTCTGGACTGTTGTGAGGATTAAGTGAATTAACATATAGGTACCATCTCGAACAGGGCCGGAACTGAGGCACTCAATAATTTCCTGCTAACCTGGAGGGTGACTTACCCATAAAACTAGGTGGTCGCACTATGAACAAAGACCACTGTGAGGAAGGGTTTGCCTCCTCCTGTCAGGAAAGTAGAAGTGAGGCGGGACAAGTTTGTAATTAAATTTGAAGTTTTCAGGCAAACCGTGAAACTCAAAATTAATCTCCAAGAAGGTAGATTATTTCTAAGGCTGTTTTAGGGATCTTCCTGGATCTTGTTCCTTAAGCCCTAAAGTAAGTCTTACATATTTTCTTTTCTTAGTTAAGCTTCTCGCCAGTGTAGATTTTTTTGTACCACCCTCTTTCAGTGTGAGACCTCCCTTCCCTTGTCCCTACACACACTCAGATATCACTGAGTACAAGTGACATGCAGATTCCTGAGTTGACATTACCTTTCTTCCAGTAGCTCAAATGGTTGGTGGTATTGTCACTTATTAATCAGTAAATTAGCTCATACTTTCTCCTATATACTCAAAACTCAGGGGTTTTGTTTGTTTGTTTGATTTTTTTGTTTAGTGATCACATCACTGCTACCATTGACAATGGTTAAAATCCCAAAATAGAAGCAAAAAGACCAGGTTTGATTTGGGAGTTCATTGATTATCGAAGGTAGATTACAAGTCAGGAAACCACTGTGAGCCTTGACTTTCTCAACTGTCCACCTCACAGGGTTGTTCAGAAAGACAAATGGAAAGACTGTAAGCAGATTTTTAAACTGTGGCATAAACTGTCTTTCTGATAGTCTCTAAACATCCTGGAGAAGCCTTCGATCCACCGCGTCTCTGCTGGCTTCCCGGTCGTGAGCCCTTTTCCTTCTGTCAGTGACACTTCCAACATTTCCACTTCCCTTCCCCCACCCACTCGTCATTACTCATTTTTAAAAAAATACATATATATTTCATCTCCTCGTGTCACAAGAGAGATCACCTTGAGCAGACTGTAGAATTCTCCTGAGAGCTCCTGAGGAATGCGTGGAAGGTGACCCTGGCGGATGTAATGCCACAAGGCGCCATTGCTGGGTAAGGGCTCTGCGCCCGCAGCCATTGCCATCGTCAGTCCCAAGGCAAATATGTCTCCTTTGGGGAGATGCTGATAATCCTGCAAAACAGAAGACAGGCAGGCCAGTTGGCTTGCCGAGTGGCATGAGTCTAGACCAAAATACACATGGTGAGAAAGGTTCATCTGAGTGCATGTGGGCTTAAACAGACTCAAAAGGCAAGGGCGCATCCATGGTGGTGAGAGGTTTACTTCTAGGAGGACAGAGGGCAGAGCACAATCCACCCACTGACACCGCTGTGCTGGGCCCGACCCCACAGACATCCTGGGAGGTGGGCAGTGACTAAAGGCCTTCTTAATGACCAGAGCTGGCACACTGTCAAAGAATAAGTAGTGTGATGATGACAGGTTGGACCCGTACAGTCTGCCTTCCTACTGGGCAATCCATAAGTTTGGGAATTCTAAAAAATACTAGAAACAGTAGAGAACCTTTAAAAAGAACAGTACAGATACTGATTAATCCACGAATGAGCCGGCTTCCCTCATGCTTTTTGGGGAAAATTGCTCTCCTATCTTTGGTCTCCATTCAGAATAGGAAAAGGGATAACATGAGTTTAAATTATAAATATGTACTTTTCCTTTTTTTCCTTTGAGCGTCAGAAGGTTCGGTGGGTTACAAAACAGCCTCCATTCCCCTAATCTATACCTCTTGCAAAATCTCCTTAGCCAGGAAGTGAATATCTCCCTCTTCCACTCTGGGTTTGCTTATTGATGTTGCAAGACCTAAGTCTCCTGAAAGAGAAAGAAATAGAGCTCCTTAAAAGCATGGCTTTCTTAAAACGGGAACAGATGGAGTCATAAGTATAAATTTTGTAGGAAAATAGAATGCAGGTGAGGATACAAGGCAGACTCACCGATTTTGTAAATCACATCAGCAGAGAGAAACCAGTCAGTGTCATTTTCAGTCTCTTCTTGGACTGTCAGAGAGTCACTTTGCATCTGATGACAAATGAAAATGTTACCTGCAAAAATACAGGATTGACATAAATAATGATTCCTAAGATTTTTCACCCCAACAGCCTTTTGGATTTGCCATCACGCCACTCTCCTCTCTTCCTCTTCTGTGTGGCTGTTACAACAGTACGAGGTTTACCTGCTTCTCTGGAATCTCTCACACTACCTATGAGCAGTTTGCTCAATGATTGACACCTCATTAAGTGAAACTGACATCAGACATGACCCCATCCTCCAAAGAGGCTGGTGGCCTCAAAACAAAGAAATGAGGGGGAAAACCCAGGATACAGTAACAACATTCCCTTGAGTTTCACATTGATGAGGGCCCAGACCATTCATTTCTGCTCCCTTCACTCAGTGTGAAAGGGCTAGGACCAGTAAACACAGGACGTACCCAACATGTGGTCACTCAGATCTGTGGAGTACATTAAATACTTATTTTCATACCTCAGCTTCACTATCTGGGAAAGAGTCTTTTCTCCCTGGGCCCAGGGAGAAAATGGTGAAAGTCATCTAACTGAACTTGTTTAGGGGAAATGCGTGAAAGGAAAGGATTCGGCCAGCAAGTGGCGCCTTTGACGTTGGATAGACACACAGGCACGGATTCTGTCTGGAGCATGGAGAGGACTAAATGGGGCCAAGGGGAGCCGTACTGACTCGGTTTGATGTCCATGTGCACCATGCCAGAGCTGTGGATGTACTTGAGCCCCAGGGAAGTCTGTAGAAGGATGTCTTTGAGTTTCGACTCTTCAAAATGATGGCCAGACTTGGTGTTTTCAGCTATGGCAGCCTGCAGGCTCCCACCTAGGAAAGAACAGGCAAGGAGAGCACCCCCCACCACCACAGAATGAGAGAAAAGGTAGAAATCTCACAGATGAAAGCACAGTAAACAATCGATAAATTCGTGAATGAACCCCATCCCGCAAGTCTAGATGACTGCAGTGTCAATGCAAAACATAGTATCTCCCCCTGTCCACACCACAGGCATGTTAGAGAGAAGGGTTACAGGGCTTTTAAAGAGGAGACGAAAGTGTTGTGTCCCCAATAACCAATATGTGGCCTTGGGTACGCCTCGACTAACATTTTCAAAGTCTCGCCCAGTCATTAACCAGAAGGCCAGTCAGCCTTACTCACACAGTTACTATTGGCGTGATGATTAATTTCATGCCAGTGTCAATCCAGTCATTATAGCCCATGAGTAATTTTAATGTAATTGATTCTAAGTTTAATTCCTTTGAAAAATATATCATGAAATGAGAACCTTTCAGGACTGCTGGCCCAAGGGAAATATGAAATGTCACTGTGTCTGTGCCCCAACTGTAGGCTCCTGCTTTGTCCCTGTCATCGTAGGACATGAGGCCTGGGCTCACCTGACCACCTGGTCCTGATGGCCCTGCACTGAGGCAGTAGAACGTGTCTGAACCCCTTACTGCATTAATTAGCATTTATCAGTAGCCCCTTCGGGCAAAAGTACAAAGCCCTGTGTCTCCCTGGCAGTTACAGAGCCCATAGTTCCACCCTTCGAGTGCACATCAGAACAGGATCTCAGACAGCAATGGTGTTTTTAAGGAAATCCATACTTAAGAATATCCCATGAAAAAACTGAATTTGAGGAGTGATCTGTCGTGTTAAAATAAGTCCAGAAAGGAAATAAATTCAGCCCCTTTCAGAAACACAAAGAGGGACTAAAGGTGGTTTTTTCCACCCTGGGAACCTTCGTAGAAAAGAACGTATGCACTAGAGATGACATTAATTACAAAGGAAGGAAGACTAAGTGAAGAATGTGTTGGAGCTTGTTGAAAACAAAGTCCCCACGAGACCGAGTTTGCAGGTGAGGTTCTGAGGCTGGACAAGGGGGGGAGGGCCGTGTCCAGGCCCCTGTCCACTTGACCTCTCGTTTCTCTGCCCCTTTGGCGCAGGGCCTGCATTGCTTCTCCCCTTTCCCCAGGTCGGGCACATAATAAATATTTTCTGATCAGAATGTCTGTCCTGGCGACCGAAAGACGAGAAAGACTGAGTCAAGGGTCCCGTAATAGGTATGGAAAGAAAGAAGCATGCTGGGAGCACCCAGAAACCCAGTGACATGTGCTTGTGGATTAGAAGCAGAAACATTTCTAACCCCTTGAAGAACTGCAGGTACTTAGTGAGGGTGACCCATGCTGGCAGCCCTCATAATTACTCAGAAGTTCTGTAGGTAATATTAAAGTTAGCCAAGCAATCATTAAAAATAGTAGAAGTTACTGAAAAGTACCCTTGTATGCTGTATGCAAAGGTATTTGAATAGCCCTTTTTAGTTACAGCTAATGCTGATTGTCCACTTCTCGGAGAAGGGCACAATTAACTGCTCTTTACTAAACAGCACGTGTTAACAAGGATGTGTGTATGTGTGTGTGTGTGTGTGTGCGCACGCGCGCGCACATAGCCATACTGAACGGACAGTAAACATCACACATCACCCCTGCTGACCTCACCAAACTACACTGGAGCCTCAGCTCCCAAACCCCAGGTAGGCCCTGCAGGTGGCCGTTGCCAGCTCTGGGCCCTGGAACGGATCAGCCAGCTCTGGGGAGCGCTTCTCATACCACCTTCAGGAGATGAGCTGCTGAATTCCTTCCTTTAGATAAAATAAAGGTCCTTCCCCTCTTGGCAGGAAAAAATAAGACCTTAAGAGAAATATATCAACGTTTTCCTGTCTGCTCATGAGGCTGATACCAAACTAAATACATAGTAAGAAATAGCAAATGCAGACCAACAATTTAGCAGGATATTTTGTTCATACACTTGTAGTCTCACAATCTTGGTTTGATGTTGCTGCCTTCAACACAAGTTTATTTTGCTGCTGGTAAAGGGTTCCTGGTTTGGTGGAAAGTATCACCAGTATTCATGGCATTTCACAGGGGACACCGACTTCCGGATGTCACATCACTCGGACAAACGTGAGAATCACCCTCTAGATAAGCATGCTCTGCCAAACTTCAGTGACAGAAGACAGATGTCACTAGAAAATACAGCCTGTAAGAGACCCGTCGTCCAATCCTGAATCAGGTAGGATCCCGGTGGTTGCAGAATCAGCCTGCTACTGAAAACCTTCCGATTGCCTAGGCTGACCCTGCGGTGACTTGTAGGGGATTTTGGCGAGGGTTGGGGGAGGAGGAGGGAACACTGGTTTCCTTCATTGGTTCAGGGCTCTGAAGAGACAATAGATGACTGCTAGTCCTTAGTAGTTACAATCGAAGTTATCTCAATCGTCTTCTTTACCGTCTGAGTTAAAGCCATAGCTGTGTATGATCCGGCCTGATGCTATGACAGGCTGGAGGCACAGGGGGAAGGTGGGCATGAGGAGGAAAAATTGAAGGTAGGGGGCCCCGGGGGAGTGAAGGGAGGAGAAGGAATGAGGCACTGGCTACTCTGCTGCCTTACAGATTCTTCAGACTCATCTTTTATTTAGAGCCACAGGGCAAAGTCTCAACGTGGAGTATCCATAGCTACAGACAAGACAAGGTAGAAGGGCACGCCTTATTTCCCCTGATCAGTTCACACTGGAAAGGTTCAGAATATGTGAATTACATCTGGAGAAATCAGTTACATTTTGCTTGGTGAGTACTCAGTGGAGTTAGTGGAGCAGCACGACGAATAGACAGTGATTGCTCATAATCTGTCACCTCCAGTCCAGATTCCACTGCCTGGCTTTCACGGCCCTCGCTGGTCTTCCTGCAGTTCACCTTGCTGCTATTTCCTGCTATAGGGGTTCTTCTGTCCCATCATGTCCCTACTGTCTGTGAGGCCAGACCCACTGCCACTACCATCATGGCCTTTGCCTGCAGGCTGTCCCCTAACTAGAAGTCTTCCCAGTCCTTCCCTGAACTCTCATAATCCTCTGCAAGTCTTCCCTCCTGTAGGAGATTCTCTGAGACCACTCTAATCACAACTACTGCAGACGTCTTACTCTGTATTGGGTATTGTCACTGTGCTAGCGTTTGATGTAGATGGTTGCTAATTGTCAAACTACTCCCTTAAATACTTACTAGTCTCTTAACTCTAAGATTAAGTGACATCCCAGCGATCATACAACTAGCGTGCAGCAGAGCTGGGCTTCAGCCCCAGGTCTGCCCAGCGCAAAAGCCCCAGCCCAAAAGCCCCAGCCCCTCCCACCACTCCACGATGCCTCGTGCTGACAGTCATCCTCTCTGAAAGCTTTTTATCCATAGTTGTACCATCTGGCTTTGCACCTAGTTGTTTCTTGTGTAGTCACTGTAATGGAGCAAGTGGAATAAAGCTCCTAGAAGATAAGGACTTACCTTATCTCATTCTAGGTACAGTGTTCCTTACCTAGAGCTTAATACAGTGTCCAGCCTGTAGAAGGTACTGGAATGTTGAAAAGAATGAAAAGATGAGTTATAAGAGCGACAATCATTCTATCTCATTTTTTGCCACCTGGAAATCTTTGCATTGCCCCAAATCTCTTTTGGTTTGCTTTATTGATTTTTGTTGCTTGACATTATTTTTGTTAGTAGCTAAAAGTCATCGAAATAACAGAAATAAGACCAGTATTCTTATAGAGAGAAGGAAGAAAGGAACAAGGAATCTTGGGTCATGATAAGGGAAATTAGGAAGAGGAGGTGATAAGAAACTTCTCAATTTTTCAATCCCCACTATAAAGAGTCCATTTTTTATCTCAGAGAGACTGAGGAGGAGGAGCTCGGGGTGAGCTTATTGAAGGAAAACCCCACAAAGTCACAGACAAGGCTACAAAGAAATCAGGCTGTAAGGAAATAACAAGAGAAATGCCAAATCATGATTTTGCAGGACATTTGCACCATTGTATATGATTGTAGCATTTCATAATGCCATCTACTGACCCACCTGGGTATTTACCAGTGCAGTGATGAAGCTCGATCACCGATCCCCATGCTCACAAGCCAGGCTGGGTGTGCATGCTCCGGGAAGATGGACTGCGGGCCAGTGAAGGGGCTCGGGGGGAGGCGTGCTGGGGGAGGAGGGATGCCCTTATCCAGTATCACCAGGCTGGAATATGGACTGCTGCTCCCCAGATGGTGGCAAGATTCTATTCAGTACGGTGGCACTTTTATACTTTACCACCGAACTTTCTGATGAGAGGTATTTCCAAGAACAACGCATGGCTGCTGTTAAGTCAGCCCCTTCATCATGGATTAGAAATACGCTAAACCAGAAGACCACTCCATGACTTCAGGAGTCCAGAAAAAGTTTTACTGGTTACCCTGTATGGACCGTCCTGGAGGGTCTAGGAGAACAGATCTGGAGTCCCTGAGTCTCAGACCCAGCCCCTCATCCTACGCCCCTACTCTGGGGAAAACACTACAGCTCAAAGGAAAGCAGCAGCGGGAAACACGACCAGTTCCCAAACTCAGCAGTCCACTTGAAAAGTAATCGAAAGTTGGCTGTATAAATGCACCGCCTCCTCCCCCTGAAATGGTGGGAACTATGCCTTCAGAATACCTAGCAAATTGTAAAAGGATGGTTTCCCCTTCAAACCACTGAGATCAAAGTTCTCTAGCATTAAGTAAAGTGTGAACGGAGTGATAGCTTCTGTGAATCAGCTACTCATCACCTTCAAGAGCGATGTGTAATAGAATAAACATGAAGTCCCTGTCCAACACAACCCATGTCCTCCAGCTCTCTGCTTCCAAGCAAAACGGCAGTGCAGACATGTGGGCATCAAACCTGGCATAAGCTACAAGGAAGAGGCAGAGATTTTCTTCCAAAGACTTACAAGTTCATCTCCCTCTCTGTCACTGTTAGTCCGCATGCTTACCATTGCAGTATTCGTTCTGAATGACCATGTGGTCATCCTCTACCCACGCAGAGTAGTAACGGACCACGTGGGGATGATGACCAAGTACCGCGTGAGCATAAACTTCATGCAGAGCCGAATTCCTGAGGTAGGAAAGCATTGAGAAAAATGAACCAAGGCAATAGACATGCAAATGTTTTTAAAAGACAAGACACGGAGCATTATTAACAACATCAGAACACTTCTTGAATGCTTACTGCTTGCTTACTATTTTATGTCTAATTTTCATAACTACCAGTAAGATACAGTGGCAAGAATAAAGGCTTTAGATTCTAAAGCCCCTGAGTTGACACAGGGGTGTCTAACTCATTCTCACCGGGGGCCACATTAGCCTCTCGGTTGCCTTCAAAGGGCCAAATGTAATTTTAAGACTGTCTCAATGTAATTACTCCTTAACAGGTAAGCAAGAGCTCGGCACCGCCACTGGGTAGAAACAAGGTGCCGGGCTGGTTAAAACCAGGTGGAGGCCGGATTCGGCCCACGGGCCTTGTGTTTGCCACCTGTGCTTTAGAAAATTCAGTGACCAGCCCAAAGTCAAGCCAGTGATAGGACGCCTCAGACCAGAACCTTGGTCATCTTGGTACCAGAGGCTGTGATTTTTGGTCAAACATGGCATAAGTAGAGGAGGCTTAGGTGGTGCCATCTCAACAGCAAATATGCTTTGGATCTTTATTTCACTGTATCATAATCACAATACCCTGATGGGCTTCACAAGACGACCACCGTGGACTTGACTGTGGATATTGTCATGGACCCTCCATCTTCTCCATGAAGGCCAGACAGTCCAAGTCAATATTAAACTCAGCCAATATGGAATCACAGGGACAGTCTTGGAGAGGAATGTTTATTGTGGAATAGGAAATCCAACACAAGAAAAGCGAAGTACAGTATTTGATGAGTTTCAGTATAAAAATGAAGAATTCCAAAATCTATAATCCCAGATTTGGCTTAAGTATTATATCCCCACAGTTCATTTAAAGCTTTGGCTGAGTCTGAAAAGATTTGTTTTACTTGGGAAAAGGAAGAACAATGACTTCTGGGAATGAAATTTAAATTTCTGTTAGTCTTTTCTTGTAACTCTTGAAACTTGCCTGTTGAATTCACCATTAATACAAAGTAGAGATAAACCAAGGAGTTAACAATAACTTCCTACTTGGCAATATTTCTGATGAACTGAACAGACACCATAAGGTAGTTCCATAAATCTATTAATTTTTTAAAAGCTGTTAAGGCCAAGGGTAAAAGCCACAGAAACCACACAAGCACATGTACATACACACACCACAAAATGACCCAAAACGACCGTGGTGTATTTTAGGAAGTAACTCATCTCTGCTCTGGAAAACTCAGAAAGGTTACAAATGTGAGATAACAGACAATGGAGGGGGCAGGGTGGTCTTTAAAAGCAGCAAATGTTTTTCATAACGTCTGTGCTATTATTCAAAGTATTTTGACAAGAAAAATGCTTTCCAAATCCAAGTCTGTGTTTCCAAAGGTACTCACTCATTTGATAATTGTGCGAAAGAATTCATGGAGCGTTTTATTGCATAAACACATCCATCCAGCCTCTTAATGCACTTGTAGACTGTGCCGAATTCCCCAACCCCGATCTTTTCTACCTCCATGAACTCTTTTTCGTAGCGGGAAGTCATGTCAGTCTCTCGTAGGACACATCTCTGAAATATTTTAGTAGAATAGTTAAAATGGTCCTTCCTAAAAAAACTGTGAGCAATAAAATTGAGGAAGATTCCTAAATTTCTCTTAAGTTTTCAAAAAAGACATCTGGGGCAATCCATTGGATTCTGTCCGTATCAATATTCATGGCAGCAAGAACCTCCCCAGTTGCTGGCTGCCTTCTCTGTGCTTTCGTTTCCTGGCTGGCCTTACTGTTCAGACCTGTATGTGTCTGCAGGGGACGCATCTCCTCACAGCCGGAGGAGCTACTGCCCTTTGGCTGAAACACTGACCGAGGCCTGGGTAGAGCATGCTGGAAGAAAACAAAACCAAATCACCCACCAGCCTCCCTTTCACCCTCTCTGCAATGCCTCACGCTCTGGCTGCTAATGTTCTTTATCTTGAGTTGAGTAAGCATACTTATACCTGTGTTCAGTTTGCTTCCTCGAAAATCTTAGCTTGGAAAACACTTGTCAACTGGATCATTTCAGGTTGCATGCCTAGATATAGAAACCACCTCCCCCACTGGGCAAGTAGCAACATCACTGATTGCCTGGCTGGTAAATAACCTCAGGTGAATCAGCTTTCCCATCTGTCAGATGAGGTTGATAGCAACTATCAATCTCAGGGTGTGTGCTTGTGTCTGAGTGAGTGAGAGAGAAAGTGAGAGAGTGATAGAGAGACTTAGCACAATGCAGAACACAGAGTAAATTCTCAGTAAATGGTGGCTCTGATTTTCATAAATTTCTGTGAATCTCCATCCAAGCTGATTTATTTCCACAAAGTCAGCATGATCCCAGTGTCTCCGTGAACAAGAACTCTTTTTCATCTAACTTTGAGTTTTAAAACCCTTGACTCTCCCTAGCTCTTCATTTTCGACATCCAACACCAGTCTTCATCAGCAAGATCTGCCCCTCCCATTGCCCCAAGCCAGTCTCAAGCTCTGGTTCCTCCCTGTCTGGATTTGCTGAAGCTACCAGCCCTCCCTCCATCTCCTGTAATAGTAAGAATCATTTCTGCAGAAGAACACTGCAGAATCAGATACACCTAAGTGTTTCATTTGAGGACCCCTTCTGATCAGAGGCCTCAAGGCCACCGACCAATCACCCACCCACTACCTTCCCATCCTCACCTCCAACACCAAATAAGCCAGCCTGCCGTCCACCCCTCAAACTCGACCCCTCCTCTCCCCTTTTGTGCACTGACCATTGAACAGCCATGTTTTGACAGTAAACATCTTAATGGCAGTGCAATATCCCACCGACTTTTAACTGTAATTTAGTTGGCCATCCTATTATTGGACACTTAGCACTCCTCCCGTTTTTATTTTATTTAGTTTTTTCGCTATTATAGTTATGGCCACAGTAAACATTTGTGGTGATGATATTTACAGTGCTATTTTATCAGGTTGGATTATCAAATAAGAAATACTAAATCAAAAATTGTCAGATTATAAAAATCAATACTGACATACTGAAGAGCTAAAATTTTTACATAGAAACCTCTGGCTTCATGCTATTTTTTTCTGTTCTGTTTTTCTTTGTTGGGACCTTAGATATCTTGATTTTCCCTTTATTTCTCTACCTTCTGCAGATAGAATTTCCCCCCAGATCAAAGACAAAAGCAATAACCTTTAATATAAAAATACTCCAAGGTAATGATTCAGCAATATACCTATCAGACACTGTCAGGTGAAGTAACAACTAGCTAGTAATATAGACCCTGATGAGAGCCCAGATAAATTCAGATGCAAAGCGCATTTGCCACAAAGTGTTGGGAGTGGGGAGAAGTGAAGAAAGGAAGGGGGGAGGGACAGACGAGAGGGGGAAGAGAGTGAAATGACTGTCACTACAGCATATCGGACACAGGATGGCACTCACCTTCGCAGGCAGCTCTTGATCTGCCTTGCCTTCCCCTGGATCAGCTTCCTCGCTAAAAAAAAAAAAATTTAAAAAAAAGTGTTATTGGTATACAATTAGCACTTACTGTATATTGAAGATATACAAGAAGATAAGAACAAGACATCAAGGGATACTGTAGACAGTTCCCAATGAATTATTTCAAGAGCCAAAGTCTTTCCCCAAAGAGAGGATATGTAAGCTAGGATTCCAGGAATGGGTAGGAGCCAGATAAAGGAAGCGGGGTTTCAGGCAAGTAGAACATCTGCTGAGAACTGGGGGACGGGAAAGCGCACAGAACACGTGAGACTATCCGTCGGTGGTCCTCACCGCCACCCTGCACCTGCCCCTTCCAACACCCACCTCCCCCCGAGCCTGGCTTTGTGTGGATGAGGTTCATGGGCAGAGTGTTACTACAGCAGAAGGAGCTCTGACGCTGGCTTACATGTTGTCGATTACTTTCCTGTGAGCTGGAGTCTCTGACAAACATCCTGTTTGCAAGATTTTAATGCCTGCATCAGCCAAGCTAGAGATTTTTCTTCTGGAGAAGTACGGGGTGGTAATGGCAAAGGGAAGGCATCGCACTCATGGAAATAAATTGATGCTTGACATTTCTAACTCAAAATCATACTACACTCGAAACTTTAGAAAGTAACAACACAATAAATAAGAAAAATACCCTCTCAGAAGCACTAGGTAACATTACCAAATTGTCACCAATTTCATTGCCAGGAGTTCAGATTAACTGTCTAGTCCGAGACTGGCTTCAGTGACAAGTGAAAACATTCATTCTGATGATTTATAAATAATCCTCAATGGCTAAAACCAATTCAATTCTTGGCGGCAAGCGTGGGTGGTTTACTTGCACTGAAGTCTGTATTTAAGATCCTGGAGGCAGTGTTGAGAAAACCTATTCTGGGCCCAAGGCTGGGTAACATGTAGTCATTGATCCCAAAAGAAATAGCTCAAGGGAACACATGAAATGCTCCGAGAACTTCAGATTGTCAGCAGTGCATTATTTTGCTGAGTTCATGGCCGCACAAATGACTGGCTCCTTTGTTTCGAGGTGGCTCCGTGCTCTAAGAAAGCAGCCTTGGAGAGACGTAGTGAAGAGATGCCCCTGAGGATTATGCACAATAGTGCAGCCGGCTTTCCATGTTTAGCACTTCTGAAAGCAACTCTGTCTTCTTCCCTTCAGCCCATCTTCCATCACCTTCGGAGAAGCTCAAATCCTTGCCCCGTAGCTCCCATCAGCAGTGAGACAAGCTAGACTAGAAATGGGATATACTCTCCAAAGTGTGAACTCCACCTTCCCCACCTGCTACCCTTCTATTGCCAGAGGTGATTCCTTGAGGCAATTCCATAGCCCGTTTAACTCCCTAGTGGAAGTCAGAGGTCTACTGCTTTCTCCACGCTGTCCTTTCATGGGGAAGCCACCGTACAGTACAGTTCAGAAGGGGAAGATGCTGGAGCCTCCACGGTAAAGCCCGTGGAGACCAATGCTGACACGTAGGAAGGAGGGGATATTGTAACCCACGTCAAGGTCACCCTAGCCGAGTTCTTGTTCCTGGTCTCGCTTTAACACTCTCCCTTCCTCCATCAGTTCTCCAAGGTCTCGGGCCACAGCATACTTACACATCTCCTCGGATTTTCCTCTTGCCACTGGATTGAAGGAATTGCTTCCTATAGGACTCTGGGGTGAAGGGGTTAATATTAACCAGACCCGATGAGGTCGCTTCATCTGTGAAGGAAACAGGTGTGAGCCTGAAGTGCTTAGAGCCTCGGGAGGGCAGTTTCCCTGTTGAGGCGATCACGGACTGTCTCAGCTGGCCCTGGAGGAGGACGGCAAAAGGCAGATCAGAACGGGGTTAGCAAAAACAGAAAAGAAAAAAGTTGCCTACCAGCTAGCTAGTTGATATTTGAACCAAAGACTGTCATTGCTGAAAGGGGCCTTAGAGGTGACCTGCTTCGTGTAAACTAGTCGCTTCATGAGTGGTCCTCTGACAAGAATGCAGATTCCCAGTCTGCCTCCTGAGAGTCCGACCGTGGACCCAGCATGGGAAGCTGTACTTTCTCATGTCCCCGGCCAGTGCAGGGGCAGTTCTGACAGGCAGCTTGGGAAACCACCAACGCCAGTCCTACCTCCAACTTTTTAAGGATGCCATTTAAGCTTAGACAAAGGAAAATGACTTTAGAACCTGGTGCTTGTGTTCTTAGAATGTACAGTTTATCGAAATGTGGGCTCGGTGCCCACTAAGGAGCTGAGGCAGGGCTGGCTACTGGGCGGGGAGCCGAGGTGGATTCTGGCTCTTTAGGGATGAACGGTCCATCAGGCAGCGGCTCATCCATGTTTCAGAAATAATCACTTGCTAAGGGAAAGATTTTGTAAACTAAACATGGAAGGAGAAATTTCCAATTCCCCTTATGATGTAGGCACCAAATAGAGTGGGGTTAAAAATGTCCAAAAAAACTGAGAAGTAACTCTCAGCCCCTCAGCTTCAACGCCCTGCAGTGGCCGCAACTGACATACCACTAGGACGAAAAACATGTGGACAGAACCACTGGGAACAGGAGGCAGGAGGAGAACACAGGCCAGAAACTAAGCCTCGAAGCAGAGGGGAGTGAGTGGTCAGGGACACGGAGCTCCAGGAGACAGCAGGATGCTACTGTGACCTCATGCCAGGGCCCAGAGCCACCACAGGTCCTCGAGAGCACACAGTGGACACGGGGGCCCTGGTCCCGTGCCGTGAGGCTCTTTCTAAAAGATTTCTGCTCTTCCCAGAGTCCCTCCCGTGGCTTTTCAGTGCAGATGCAGAAGGTGGGTCACAACATGAGTCTCTACATGACAGCATTCACGTAACCGTAAAGAACGTGAGGCTGCAGAAAAATGGATATTGAACTTGGACATACTACATGATCGCTGCAAGCAGAAGTGAAGCTGTGGAGCACACACTATATTTTTCTTCGTATCAAAACACCCGAACAAAAAAAAAAACAAAAACACCCGAACATTTTTTTTTAATGAAGAAAACAATGTCACTGCCAGAGTCAAGAGTTTGTACGAGGGTTTTACACGTGTCTTAGAGTTCAAAGCACAAACGAGCCTGGGGACGCTGTCGGAGAGCCATCAACAACAGTCTTCTGGCACGTTTATGATGGGGCCGAGTGTGGGTTCCAAAGATGAGCAACTGTGTAATACTTCGCAGTTGTCATGTGATTCAGGGAGTGGATTTAGAATTACAGTAAAGCCATTCCTGAGAAAGAGCTTTTTTTTTCTGATGTTGGTCATCATGTGGAAAGTAAACACATCTGCCCTACATGAAGCAGGGACTCGGCTGCCACCAGAACGCTCTGGCTGCCACATCCCAAGCACCACAAATAAGGCCTGGACATCTTCCAGGTAAAAGGAAGGAAAAGTGTTGCTATCTGGGCAGACGATATCAGAATGCCTCGTTTGAAAATGTGACGACTGATGGGTTTTGTGATCCCCACTTAAAATACAGGGAAGGACATCTGTCCAGGGAAGGAATAGCAGGATCATGGTAACCCTTTAGAAACTTAAAAGAATGTAGTTTGGAACAAGATTTATGAATGGAACTGCAGAGAAGTGAAGCAGGTTGAAAGTTTCTGGAAAGACGACCAGGTTGAGGGTATAAATATGCCCCAGACAGTCTAGCTCATTCCATGGGTAACAGCTCTATTATAGAGGGTTAAGAGGAGAAAGGGGGAATTGGGGAAATAGCCCCCTGACTTCTGAGATGGTGGGAGAAGGTGGCGACCCCCCACTAAGGCACAACATCACAGGGTCTTGGGACTGGGAAGAAAACTTTAAAGGCCCAGGTGGTACAACTAGCCCCGATGCTTGAATCCCTTCTATATTTCCACCAAGTGGTCACAGAGCCACAAGGGCCTCCCTCCCTCCTAAGGAAGCCCTTCTGTCTCTATCTCCGTCCTGCTAGGAAGTCCTGATGGTGAGCCGAAGTCACTTCACGTGATTTCTGGTCCTGTCCCTTGGGCGAGGCTGAGCTGAACCAACATTCCCTTCCTGAGCATCCTGGTCTCGGGCGTAACATCCCCAGTTATCACTGCCCTGGCCTCTCTTCTCTGACCCTGACCCAAACCCTATTCTTCATAAAGTATGTACCTTCCCGTTTACATGGCCAAGTTCCCTCCTGAACTCTGTTCTCTGCCTGACCTTCAAATCTTGGCATCATCCAAGATCCCTCACTTGAACCACTTCCCTTCTTACTCAGGCCACACGGACTTATCCACACCCAAGTCCCTATATAGATCTCCAACTTCTAGTGTTTTCCTGTACTCAGACCCATGTAGCCAAGTATTTACCTGACCTCTCTGCTTTTGCCAAACCTGTACCTCCTCTCATGTCACCTGCCATGATTCAAGAAACCCTGTACTCAAACCAGCAAGAGGCCCGACTGCACCCAAGGTCTCTTTTTCCCTCGACTCCTCCATTAAGTCAGTTACCAATTCCTAAGCACCTCTCCGTTCATCACTGTTGTAATTCAGGCTCTTCTCCTTTCTCAGCAAATCTACCAAGAATACCACCGGCCACCAAATCTCTCCTGCTCCATCCCGTCCTTCATATGAAGGTCATGAGTTTGCCAAGGTGCCTCTGCCCAAAACCACTTAATGGCCCTCTCAACATCTTTAGGATAAAGCCTTGATGGAGCTCCTGCCTGCCGACTCTGGCCTCGCCGCCTGCCCTCTGTCTCGGACAGACCTGTCACATGGAGCAGCATGTGGTTTTCCCAGGGCAGCGTGGCCTCTCCCCTCCATCATTTGGTAGACGCTTTTCCCTTGGCCTCAAGGTCTCAGTCCCTTCTTCTTTGCCAGGTGAACCCCAACCCATTCTTTAAGACTTCTCTCAAACATCACTTTCTTTGACAAGGCTTCTCTGATGTCTTGAGACCTAATTCCCCATCCTTTCTCCTCATGGGTACCACTCCTCTAGCAAACCTGATCTGAACTTGAATGATCGTTTCGGGTGTGTGCTTAATCTTTATTTTGTGGGCGCTCTTTGAAGGCAGTAAATGGGTGTGACTGCAGAGGGTCAGCTAGCATGTCAGGGTGTTCAGTTAAGTTTTAAACGAGTGAATGAAATATACACGCCATGTTTTCCTACCTGTGTACTTTTGCTCAGCACCACATCCTCAGCCCTCTCTCCACCTGCTTGTTAGTCATCAAAACCACACCAGCTTTCATCAACCTTCACACGCCTCCTTCCCCTTCATATCTTTCCTGAGAAGCAGTCCACCCAGAGAACCGCTCTTGACGCAACTACTACCTAGTGTCTGTAGACCCATCTCGTCTCTCTCAGACACCGTGTCTTATGTTCCTTGCTCACTGTGGGTTGTCAACAAAACAGAAATCAGTGGATGACTGGCTGGTTGGTATTGGGACCATTGAAAAACCCAGAGAGGGACATGTGAGCATATGAGCACGGTTTGTTGACAGTGGGGACAAGAAGCCCAGTGCTCCCTGTGAACACGGTGCCCACGCTCAGCGGGCACTAGAGAGACCTGCAGGCAGGGACTGTGCTGCCCTCAGAAGCACAGATGTCATCATGATGATCTGAAGTATGTCACGCTGAGCCAGCAGAAAGCAGGGCTAATACCAGCCCTCAGGCTCATACACCGGGGCCCAGCCCGTTAGAAGCCACCCTGCCCCGCCCTGGCTTTAATGACCCATATGCAGGATGTAGCAGGAGACCAGTCGCAACAAGAATAAAGGAATATGCTAACTACTTGGGACCTTTACTTTTCTGCAATCTTCAGCTTATACAGACGTGTCAACAGGTCACCTCTTTGCTCAGATACAACAGAAGCCTGAACTTGACAAGGCCCAGGAGGGGAGAGGACTTCCTTCTGGGAAGAGCAGCAGCCAGGAGACACGCACGTGCTCAAACAGAGAATAGGGACCTTCCTATATGAGGAACTACTAGGAAATAATCACATAAAGATAGAGCCAGTTGTCGTCGTGGAAAGCATAGGCTCAGGCCGAAAGATCAGGTTTCTAGTCCTGTCTCTGCCATTGGCTGAGCAAAAAGCCGGGTTATCGCCAGAGACCTTGAATTTCTCCCGAGCGGCATGCACGGGCCCCGGGCGCTGCATCTCAACCTGCCTGCCGGGGCCCATGTCTTTAGCGAGGAACTTTTTCCCCACCCCACATTCATCCGTGGCCTCCACCGAACAGTCCCTGGCACCAGTGGTTTTGAGAAGACAGGCGGCGAGACATGGAACTGTTTTCTGAAAACTTTAAACTCTTGTTCATTTTCGCCAATAAAAACATAAGGAATAGGAGAGGCTGGGAGGCAGATCTATCACATACACGCAGAGGACCGAGTCCTTGTTCTCTGTCAGCTGCACTGAAAGAACCTGAGTCCGTCTCCCCACAACTTACTCACTTTGGGAGTGAAGGGGCTGTCAGAGTGTAGCAGATTTCGCCTGTCACCTGGCTGGTCTGGCGTGGCAGGGCATGTGAGAGGTTCTGACACTGGAGTCCTCATAACAGGCTCTGGACTCCCTTCATCTTTTTCCTGAAGTAGGAGTTCTCGTACTTCACCGAGGGGTGTCCTGGGAGGTATAAACTCGCCCTCTGAGTCCGGAGCCTCGGACTTCTCTGGGGTGCCGCTCTGGGCCTCCCTGCCCTGTGTGCCTTCCTGCTGCTGTTCTCTGTTCTCACCCTCATCTTCACAACCTGAGAAGTTGAGTTTCTGCTTTAGTTCTTTGTTAATACTGTGGTAGTCCATCTCGGCCTGAGCTCTACAACTAGGCGGGAGGCCTGGCCGAGGGAAGCAGTGAGGAGATGCAGGTAAGGAGGAGACCTCCGGCCAGCCCGGCTCGCCCTCCGCCTGCCACATGGAGACACCTGTGGGTCTCTCCCTTAAGTACCGCAGGTCTGCAGGCTTCCAGCTTGTCCTTATTCCCATTCTGATTAAAGAAAGCGCCAGCAACTTTTTGAGCAATTACAGCCAAGTTATGTTGAAACACTTCTAGATCCTACACACAGTCTCCCTGAACCCACGGGCTACAAAATGCTCGTGAGGCAGTGGGTTCCTTTAATTGGGCACAGATTTAAAGACACCAGTTAGCCAATCTAGGAACAAATTCATCACCAAGAAGAAACTATTTTCACTCCTTTACACCTACCATTTAGAAATCTCACCCTCTCCTCTCTTCCTATCCCCGCCTACCTAGTGGCTAAGAAAAGTTCATCAGAACTCAGCATCACTTGGATATAATAACGATCTTTAAACAGTCTCTAACACACCTAGGCTGGAGTCCATCTCCCAAATAGAGACACATCTTAGATCTTTGCCAGACACACCTGCCTTAATTGAGGCATCCCCCACCCATGCACCCTGTCCTCCTCCAGGTGTTGACAGTTAAAGTTTTTAAGGAATCGGACACATTTTCAAACTGACAAAAGAAAAGCTTGTAAGATCAGTAACACATAGAAGCAGACACATATCACTTGAAAGGGGCAATTAGTCTGCTCCCCCCCCCCCCGCTTTATTGTGAAAAACCTGTTTTCTTACTGCTTGGGAGTCTTTAGCACACGTTAGTCAGTTTCTTTCTCAGAGAGGTCCCCCAGGGGAAGGTTTAAAAACTCTTTGAAGAAAAACCCCACCCTGTCCCTTTGTCAGAGAACGCAGGTAACAGGCAATCCATGAGAAAAGGACAATGACACTCCTGATCCCCACCACCCTCCGGAGGTAGCCCACGTGAGGAATTGTTTATATGATGAACGCGGGTCCAGAGAGGCGCCCCCAAGGATGAGTCTAATGTTGACTGAAATGAATTTAAGTCCCCTTCTCTTGACAGCATTTCCGTTTCTCTCTCTCCCCCCCACCCCCGAACCCACCGTCTCTCTTGCTCCTTTCCGGTTCATTCCCAGCCTGTTTCCCAGGGCCTCACTGCAGTCTGTTCTCCAGCCAGCAGCTAAAGGGGTCCCATGGTAAAGGACCCTGACCTGAGCTCCTCCAGGGCCTTTCGGCTCATTGAGAAGACAAAGCCAACACCACCCCCCCGACCCCGTACTGAGACCCTCCGGCCTCCCCGCCCCCAAACCTGTCTGACTCCTGCCATCCCCCTCGCACACTCTGCTCCAGACTCCCTTCGTCCCTCCCCTCTCCCCCCCAGGTCCCACTCACCAGGCTTCCTGCAGGGGTCTCCTCAACAACCCCAAAGATGCACCACTGCCCATCCTCTGGCCCCTGGCTCCGTATCACAGTCCTCACAGTGCTGACGGCTACATCATATATTACACAGTTAATGGTTCACTTTCAAAGTGTGTCCTCCCCATCCCACCCCCAGTAGAATCTAAACTCCACAAGGGCAAGTTTGAGGTCCTATTCCCATTGCCCGGGACAGGGCTTGACGTGTAGCCGGAGCTAAGAATCAAGGCGCCTGCTGTGCGTTCTGTGTATCCTCATGATGGGCATTACCGCAGAGTGATACCTTTCATGAGTTTTCCCATTTTTGATTTTCAACTCTAATGCACATCTCAGAGGCCTGAAAAGGCAGGAATATGCTGATTTTAAATAACTTGGTGACTTTGAATATATATTTTATTTTATTAATCCCTACGCCAACCTGAGCTCAGGCCCTGGGGTCTGTGATTTACTGTCCTTCCATCCTGGGGCACCCCACCTAGTGCCTGCACCCCGGACGATCTGGGAGGAGTGAAGGGCAGTAGGAGTGCAGATGCGCTGGCCTGGCCTCTAGCACAGTCCGACGTGTGCAATAAACACAGGAAGGAAGCCAGGAGTCTGAACGGATCAGGAAGTGTCTCCGGACACTGTGGGTCCTCGGTATCCGACCGTGGGACTGAAGTTCATGGCTCACGGGTGGGTGCAGCTAGTCCTCAATCATTCGATTCTTTTCCTGATCTCCTGCATTCACATTCTTAATTGCACCTGTGACATGTCAGCCTGTCCCGTAATCTGGACCCTGCCTGGACCACCAGTGTTTGCCCTGGCTGGCTAGTGACTCCGAGGGATCACGGAGGCAGGGCGGCGCAGTCCTCACTTGCGTGCCAGGCTGCTCCTGGCAGAGTACAGTGGCTCGGTTATAGAAAGGCGTTGGTGTGCCTCCGGGAAGCGCTCAATTCTTATGCCATTTGAATGGGGAAAAAATCCCACTTGTGTTTTTGGAAAATGGATAAAGTAATTTTAAATTTCATGAGGAAAAATAATTGTTGAAAAAAGAGCAGGGGATTATTTTAAAGAGTAGAAAAGACTACCTTTCCAAGAAATAAAACTTTAAATTATACATGTATATTATTTTTTAATACTCACCCAAGGATATATTTATTGATTTTAGAGAGAGGACAAGAAGGAGAAAGGGAGGGACAGAGAAGGGGAGAGAGAGAGAGAGAGGAGGAGAGAGAGGAATTGATGAAGGGAGGGAGAGAGAAAAATCAGTCCGATAGGTTGCCCCCAAATGTGCCTCCACCAGGGATCGAATACCTGCAACCAAGGCATGTACCTTGACTGGGAATCTGGGAATCGAACCTGCATCCTTTTGGTGTACAGGATGATGCTCCAACCAACTGAGCCACCTGGCCGAGGCCATGTATAGTATTTTATCTGCATACATTAGTGTGGTACTAGTGTAAGAATAGAGGGGTCAGTGGGGAAGAAGACATAGATTAGTAAATGTTGGTAATTCAATATTGCACTTTTTAAAAGGGAATTATCATCGTAGAACATCAAAGGCTTATTTAATAAGTGGTGTAGCAATCATTGGTTAACTATTCAATAAAAAATTTTAGGGTCTTACTTCATATCACATATCAGTATAAACATTAAACAGATTGTGATCAGAATCATCCTGCAAATAACTAGAAGAAAATAAAACTGAACGTTGGTCAGATTTCTGGATGCAGACCAACTTTCTAAATGTCAAAGCAGCATAAGAAATCACCAAAAGAATCACTAAATGTGACTACATAAAATTTAGAACTTCACTATTTTGTTAAGCAACTAAGCAGCATAGAAACCACACAGTAAATCAGAAATGATACTGACAAAAATTACACCAGGCAAAGAATGACTGTTCTTAGTGTCTATAGGAGCCATGCAAAGTGGTGGCAAGAGCGTAAGGACCCCCTTGGATGAGTGATCGGAAGGCATTCTATGCAGACAATTCACGGAAGAGGGACCACGTGTCCTCAGGGTGCAGTTCGAAACCTCGATTAGGGTCAGTCACGAAACATTGCCTTAAAACAAAATGTCACTCTCACCTGAAAAATCGGTAAAACAGCTTTCGAACGGCGATATCTCACTTGGACCAGAGTGGAAGGAAACGGATGCCCCCAGACACTGCGAGTCACCAATTTGTCAGTACAACCAAGACCCTTGAGAACACGAACACAGTCTCGCCCCGCGTTCCCGTCTCCGGCAACCTGTCCTAGTCAGCGATTCAAAGGCTGGTTGCTTTTGCCCTGCCTGTCACCTCTCATCCTGGATTTCATTCCTTGCCCGCTCGCTGTCTTCGACGAGAGGCTGTAAGCCTGATGAGAAGGGATGTCTGACTTCCTCACAGCAGGGACCAGCAGATGACAGGCACCTAATGCTAGTTCGGAGTGGAGTTCGGCCAATGCTTTAGGCGCAACACAAAAAGGGAACAGCTTGCTCTTCCAACAGTGAGAGCTGGGACGGTTAAGTAAATTTGCAAACACACAGATAATGGAAACCACTAAGATGATGCCTGTAAAAAGTTCTAATAGGATGGCAAACGCTTGCGTTCAAATGCTAGAGAATAAAAATATGAAATTCATACGCAGTCTGGTTTCCACATGTAGCTGGAGAAAAGAAAAACATGTAAATCCATCCTCTATTTTAAGAATAGAAAAGGCCCAAGATGGGGAGTCTAAAAGGACACCCTGGGTGGGATTGTGACAAATCGACCTCCCACACAGAGAGCGCCGGGCAGGGTCACGGGCTCGCCTCAGCCCTGCCATTGGGTGGAGGGAGGAACCCCCCCACCCCCCGGGGAAGAATTTGAACTACAACCAAGGATCACCCTGGCTTGTGTGTTAAATCGTACTGCCGGTGTGATTCAAAGAACCTCAAGCAGAGAATTTAACTCAAAATAGGCTTGGGTTGGTGGTGTCTCCAAAGGGGCGACAAAATGGAACCCCAATCTGTGGGGAGGACAGGGCCTCAGAGAGGCCAGCAGCAGCTGTGAGTCACCATGGCAATGAGAGCCAGTGAAAAATCCTGCATCCCAGAACTGATGAAACGGGATACGCAAAACACTGAAAGGGGCCCATTCAGTGGTGAGATTCCAGATCAAAAGCACTTTCATATAATGCATGCTTTATACGCACCACGTTTTTATGTATCGCAGACACATTTAAATAATGTGGATTTAGTTTACATAATGTATTTTATATAGTGAAGATAGATTTAGTATTTGGAAAGCAAAATACTTTTATTGAAAACTTTTGACATATGGGGTTTTTCGAGGAACTCGTTGAAAAACGCAGCATTATCCCAGGGCCTCTGAATGGGCCTGCCCTTCATCCCTGCTTGCCCCTCGCACTGGTCCGCCACCAGAGCTATCATCTTGTGAAAGTCCGGGGACACAGAGAAGATAATAGATGGTCAGACTGCGAATGTGTGAAGAGGTGTGTCTTCGCCATTATTAACATTTTTTACTTCTTTTTAGAGAGGGGGAAGGGAGGGACAAAGAGGGGCAGAAACATCACCGGCTGTGTAAATGCATAACCAGGAATAGAACCAGCGACCTTTCGCTTTGCTTCTTTTTAGAACGACGCCCAGCCAACTGAGCCACACGGGTCGGACGCCATCATTAACATTTTTGAGCACTGTTATGTGCAAGCTACTAGGTTACAGATGGCAGGACAGGCCAGCTGCACAGAGGTACAAGTCTCCACTTTCCTTCATTGGCTTAGCTGACAAATGATCGTGAGCGCCTGTTGAACATGGCAGTAGGAATTTGAAGACAGACATGAAGGCTGGGACGCTAGAACCCGCGTATCAGTGAAGACTGGACGAGGAGCTAGATTTAGGTTCTGGACGTTTGGGGCTTCAGTGTATATAGAAAATTGGTTGGGGTGGGTATTAGGTGTTTATTTCCTGGGGGTGGAGGGCAGGGCTCAACACAAAAGATCAGGAAACTGAAGTCCCTTGGGGGAGAAAGAGCCAAGTCAGGCCTAAAGCTGACATCTTTGGAAACTGAGGGTTTTCCAGAGCCCCTATTTTGTATTTTAAAATAACATTTTGAGTGCCTCGACCATTGGGATAAATCTGGTGGCTGGATCACTTTTTCAGAGGAGGGGGAAATAAGAATTAGGAATAGCTATCAAAATAATGGGAAAGAACATGGTGAGGAGAGACTTGTGCAGACACCTGATTCATCCAAGGTTCAGGAAAGTGGGCAAGTGGGCAGCTTGCCGCCTCTGGGAACGACCCACGAGATTCATGCTAGGCTTTACGGGGGGGGGGGGGGGGGGCGGTCATGAAGATCCTTATCCCATGTGCCAGAGACGTGATGATAATAAGATTTAACCCCTCTTTTCAGAGAGATAATCAATGACTGCCCAAGACTGCTACTTGGAGGCTAAAATCTGTGACATAACAATAAAGAATCTATTTATGCAGTATTTTACCTCCCCCATAGGAACTGCTGTCATCATATAGATTTAGTTCAACCTCTCCCCGACTCCCCAGGGAGAGGTGACCCTCCACCACGCTCTGTGGACACTTAGTCTGAGATGGATGGGGAGCTCCAGACCGGGCCCAGGAAGGCCAGGGCTTACTCGAGAGGGCTCCAGACACACTGCTCCGGGCCGGACACCAGGCCCCACCCGAAACCCAACAGCACCTGGCAGGCAGGGCTCCCTCTCGTGCTTCAGTTCCCAGCACAGCGGCTGTTTGGCCGCACACCCAGGATTATGTAATGCACATCTGTCATGGTCCATATGACGGGGGGGGGGGGGTGCTTTGAAAAAATAATGGTGACATAAAAATTCACGGCGATAGCTTTCCCACGAAATCCTTGTTGAGACGGCACCATCACCCAGGCACAGGTAGTCAGATCCAGGTGGATGCGCGGCAGGTCACCACGCACTTCCCACACCGGGGCGCGCATCGGCATCCAGGCACTTTCACACCAGGCGCGCCGCTCAGGGCAGCCCGCTGGGAGGACGCCTTCTCCGCTGGGAGGGCGGTGGGGGCAGGGCGGGGCCGCACGGGGCAGGTGCGGGCCTTCGGCAGCGGGAGCGCCGGGCCCCGGGGGCCGGCCCGCGAGGAGAGTTCCGCAGCCCGCCCCGGCGCCCGCCCCTCGCCGCCCGCGGCTCCTCCTCGCTTCGCCATGGTGGAGCGAGGCGACGCGGCGCCGCTGCTGCGCTGGGCCGAGGGCCCCGCCGTCTCCCCGCCGCAGGCCCCGGAGCTGCAGGCTGGAGGCCGGGGCTGGGGCGGCGGCGGGGGCGGCCGGGTGGCCGCGGAGCCGCGGAGGCGGCGGGAGGCCGAGGAGCTGGGTGCCTCGGAGGTGCTGCTGGAGCCCGGGCGCCTGGAGCTGGGCGACGTGGAGGAGGACCAGGTGGTGGCCGTGTTCGTGGTCACCTTCGATCCCCGCTCGGGTGAGAGCCTCTCGGGGACCGAGGGCGGGGAGAGGGTCGCCGCCCCCTCACCGGGCTCCGCGGGTGGGGCGCGGCGGGGGAGGGGCCCGCGGCGCGCGCGCCCACACACCTGCACCCCCCCGGCTCCCGCGGAGCGAGCGGGCAGTGGGCGCGCGGTCTGGGCGCGGGGCGCGGGGCTTTGTTCGCTGCACCCTCCGACCCCCTCTACTTTCTGCCCCGCGACTTCTCAGCAGCTTGCGGTCGGCGCCCCGGGCCCCATTGCCTTGTTGGCGCTTCTCCAGTGATAGAGGGTCCTGCTTGCGGCCACGGACGCACGGGCTTTTGTTTTGTTTTCGTGTTGGGCTACGAGGTCCCCCTCCCCCCTTTAAGAAGAGGAACGCCCTGCAGGTGAACTCCTGAAACTGAGTGTCCGAAGCTTCCCCCGCCCTCCCACCCCACCCTCCACCTGTCCCCGCTCCGGAACTTTCCAAGCGGCCAAAGTCACTTTCTCCTATCGTATTATTTTGAGGAATTAATGCCGGCGGCGTTTGGGAGGGAGGAGGGGCACGGCATTGGGGGACTAAGCTGGAGACCGATTAAAAGACGGAGTAGGCTTTACTCAGGTGGGCTCTCAGGCGTCCGGAGAACCACAGGGTGGCGGCACGTAGCCTTTCCCCGGGCCACCCCGTCTGGAAGTGTGCACTTTGGAGGTGAGAGACGTCACGGGGGTCAGAAGTGAGTGAACGGATCCCTCGCTCCGCCAGTCCCGGCCCGCGCGTGGCCTCTCCCGCCGAGGGCTGCTTTGGGGTCGGTAATGGAGGCAGGAGGGCTGAGGTCAGGACTCCGGGCGTAAGAACGCCCAGGTGTGCCTTGGTGTCCGTAACTCCCTCGGAGTTGCCGGCGTGCGGAGGGCTCTTAGGGAAAGATACACAGCTGCTACTTTCTGGCATTCTCCTCCCCGTCCTCCCACGGTGAGCGGGGGCCCATTCTGGAGACCTTGATGGGCGCCACACAGTAGGGTGGAAAGAACCCTGAGAGGGGGGTGCAGGCAGGGCAGCAGAGAGGGTTCCCGCGGGGTAATGGGACTGTGCTCAGGGAGTGTCCCGCGCTGGGAGAGCAGGCCTCTGACTCGGACCGGTCCTTGGCCGCATCCCCGTGGCTCTCGCACGGTTTTGACTGTGACCCAAGGTCACAGTCAAAATTAATTAATTTTACATCAGATCAATACCCTCACGTGCGTACATTTGTGACTCACACACAAGTTTCATGAAATAGTACCAGCCTTTTGTATGTGTATGTAGCGCATACTGGTACTTTCTAATCCATTTGTAAAAATGTTTATGCTATCCATACATTGATTCGCATATGGCTAGGCCTCCCGGACACCAGTAGTTTGAAAAACTGTTCTTTTTTGGCCAAAGTAACCCTTACTGCTAGACAAAAACAGATACTGTATATTCATTGTACCCTACAGGTACCCTACAGTGGTGGCATCACCTACAGGTCAATAGAGCAGGTCCTCCGATAGCATTGTTTCATTCAACTGCTTTATAACATTGATGAGGGGGAAGAAAATCGATTCCTGACCAGGGCCGCTGTCTGTGGAGTTGTCACATTTTTCCCTGTCTCCAGTGGGTTTTCTCCTGGAACTCCAGTCTCGTCACCCCTCCCCCCGCTCTGACTCCCCACATCCCAGGGATGGGCGCAGGAGGTGAATGGCATTTTTAAGTGGCCCCATCTGAGTGAGTGTGGGTGCGAGTGTGCCCTGTGGTGGACAGGTGTCCTGTCCAGGTTGGTTCCCACCTGCGCCCTGGGCTGCCAGGAGAGACTCCAGCCACCTGCGACCCTAACTGGCACAAGCGGATTGGAAAAGGGTTATTTTACTTGTCTGTGTTAATCTTTGTTAAGTGCATGAGTAGCTAACATTGCCTTCAATGTTCAATATTTGAAGTGTTTTGGGGGGGGGCCTTTATTTAGAAGTTTGGTGATGGTTTTGAGACCAGAAATAGGCTGTAGGAACTTAACTCTTGTTTCTATTAGCCTTTGATAAAGTTGGTTTTGTTATATGTCCTTTCACTTGGAAGCCTCAGTTGCCAAGACCCGAGGGTCCAGGTTAAGCAAGGACTTACTTCCTGTTGATGGGAGCTCGAGATTCATTCTGGGAAGTGTGGGACAGAAGCAGAAGAAATGGGGCGTCAGCGGGGGTCTGACTGAGCAGTGGTGGCTCCAGCCCGGAGGGGAAGGAGGAAAGAAAGTCCTGTGTGGACCACAGGTGCAGCGGCTAAATATGAAAAGCAGGGCCGGCACCCTCGCCCTGCTGGGGTGTGGGTTTGTGTGAGCCAGGCACTAGCCCCGTGCATAACGGTTTTTCATGTGAGTCACTGTGGAGAGAAGGGATTGAGAAAGATATCTGGACATTGACTTCACGCAGGCAGGCATTTTGCTATAAGGCTGTTTGTTTCATTTGATCCTAATCCCCACTGATACTGGACAATCACTTACACCCAATTTATACGTGAGAACATAACTCTTCTAAATACAGAAGAAGAGAGTAATTCTTTTATATTGTTAGTTACAAGGTTTGAAAAGCTGGGTTGGGCATCTGCAAGGACAGATCTGAGAAGACGTTATTTTCACTGTACTCATGGTTGGAATATGATGGTTGGTGTAGGATCTACAATGATGTGAGGACTTAGGGGCTTGTGCGCGTGCTTGTACATGCACACACACACACACACTCACTCTGACATCCACACACTCGGTCTTTATCTGGCGCAGGGAGTCCCTAGCATGGTGGTACTGGCCATCTGGGCCACAAAGCTGCCATTGAAACCAGGCCCAGATGCTTGCGGTGCAGGCTGGTGGGAGAGGGTAGCAGCCACGGGGCCGCTTTCTCATGCGTTCAACCCACTCCGCAGGGCCCTGATTTAAAATTTCTGTTTTGTTCTTTGGGTTTCTAGTAAAACGTTCTCGCTGTTCTGTTTGATTGAGGGGAGAGGCGCCGTCACACCTGGAGATCCGCCTTCTCTCTCCCTATGGAGGGGCCACAGCTGTCTCACCACGAGACTGAGCACTTGTGTGCGTGCTCGTGGCAGATAAAGCTGAGGACCCTCAGTGCAAGACACCTGTGAATCCTTCTCCTTGGGCCGTTTACTCACGAGGTTCACTTTGAATGGCTACAGTTTCCCCAGAGTTGTTTTCTTGGTGTGTGTGGGGAAAATTCCTGCCCTGTGTGTTTGTATTGGAGCGGGTGATCACACCCACTCCAATACAGAGAGCCCACTCTCTGGGAGGGGCAGAGAGCCCACTGAGGTTTGTAAGATGTTTCTTTTCCTTTTGTTCTCCTCATGAAGGGTGAATTACTCCCTCAATTGCTACCAGATTCTCACTCACATCAAAACACCTATTTAATGCGGTGCACCTGAATGCCCTTATGTTTATGTCAAACGAGTGCACACAAATCATTCCCACGAGTTTCAGTCTGCACACCCTCTCTGTGCAGCTGGCGATGCACGAGGGTGTTCTTTCCAACAGTGGAGCTGCAGGAGTTGCCGGGGATGAGGGCTAGGTGTGGTGTCTGCGGCCTGCCCCGGATGCTGCCCAGGTCATCTGACTTGTGCAAACAGTGAGTGGCTCCAGCCGTGGGTGGGACAGTGACAGAGTGGAATGAGGAGGGGAAATTTGGAGGGTAAGTTTGAGATACAAAGAGCGGTCCTGAGAATGGCTGGCTGACAGAGGCCAAGAGAAGGCCAGGTCTGAGAGCTCACAGGAAGGTCTCTGAGGACGAGTAACGTGGCCAGGTCCTTTCTCGGTCGTTTCCATCAGGTGGCGGGGAAATACAACTGCGGTCACTTTCATCAATCCCACATTGGCAGGATCTGTCCCAGGCCGCTGGTGACTCACCTGCTGTGGTTTTCAGAAAGAAGTCCCTGTGTGGGTCTCCACCGTGAATTCTGTGTCTGCCCCTGAAAGTCTACGGGAGGTAAAGCAGGAATGGGGATTCTAGCGCCCACCAGTGCTGAGCACCTACTGTGTGTCGGGAACTGTGCCGGGCATTTCAAGGACCTTGCCGCTAATCCTCCCAACAGTCTTCTCTGTGATGATGAGAAAAACCGAGGACCAGAGCTGCTAAGTCATCTCCTATCACAGAGCAGAGAGGGACAGAGCCCAGCCGTGATCCTGGGCAGCCTGTCTCCAGGGCGGGCCCTGGGGTAAAAGGATACGGGGCCTGAGGAGTAGGAGGTGGTTTTCCATGTGAAATGCATGCCCTGGAAGTTGGCCCTGGGTTGGCAGAGGGCTGACTGGAATTTCCTCCTGCCTCAAGTGTCTCTCCGCCGCCTCTTTCTTCCTTCGCCTTGGGTAGGTCCTCCTCCTAGGTGATGTTCATATTGCATATTTAAAGCGAGCTAAGACCCAAACCAAGCGACAATACAGGCTGTTTCCTTTCCTGATGTTGGAGTCAGCACCAAATCATCCTTTGAGGTCTCCTCCACGTGGCGTTGGAGTACTCTGGGGCTTCGTCTTCTTCCCCTGTGGAATTCGGGCGTGTGTAGGGTGTGGGGAGAGTGGGAATCAAAGCAGATGTCGGGGAGGGAAAACTGGTCCGGGGGGCTGCGCCCGGACCTCCAGCAGAGGCAGCCAACTGCTTCCGACAGGAAGGCCTCACCTCGGGAAGGGGGGGATCCGTGACTGGGAAACACCCAACCACGGAAGAGAAGGAGGAAGGAAGCCGTGTATTTATTTCCCGTTAGAAAGAGACTGCTTTGGCTCCAGAACATCGCCTTTTCTACTTTAAATAAGTGAGATGAGCTTTCTCACAGGCAGCCATGGCTAAAGCCTACTCTCCCTGAAGAAATGGTGGCTCACAAACTCCGAATATGCCCCGGGGGTACGGTCACTTCCCATTTAAGCAGATAGGACAGAGTGTGTGTCACCTAGCCGAGGAGCTTATACCACGTCACCAGCTCTGAGAGGCCCTCACACAGAGCTGCCAGGCTGCCCGTGGAGCGGCAGGTACGCCC